ATATATATATATATATATATATATATATTTGAGGGTTTTTTGCTTAAAACATTTTTACTAACAGCAATGTGTAATTTCACTTCAACACTATTAGTCTCCTAGGGTAGCCTAACAAAGTACCTCAGACTGAGTCATATAATCAACAGAAACTTACTGTGTCACAATTCTAGAGATCAAGTTGTCAGCAGGCTGGGTTTCCTGTCCTCTCCAGACTTATACGTGATTATCTTCTGCCTGTGTCATAGCATGGTCATCCTTCTGTGTGTTCTCATCCCCCGATCTTCTGAGGACACCAGTTGTATCCAATTAAACCCACCCATGTGACTACATTTTAACTTAGGACCATCGAAGAGATAAGCGACTCCAAATATGGCTACATGCTGAGGCAGTGGGGTTTCAGACTTCAGCATAAGAATCTGGGAGACGCAACTCAGCACACAGTGAACACTAATCTAGAGGAGAAGTATGATATGCCTTTATTTTAAAGGACACCTGAGGCTTAGGGTATGCTGAGATCAAGAAGAGTGCGTGCGTGCACACACACACACACCTGTAGCAGTTCTAGGTCCTGGCAGGTGAACACAGGGCCCACTCGTCCTGCAGGAAAGAGACCCTCCTCCAGCAAGCCAGGACCCAGAGTCACCAGCTGGAGCAGCTGCAGACCTTCCTGCAGGATTCCCTTGAGGTACCTTGGCTTGGGCGGGTTTTGTTGTGGTGGGGGAGGAGTCACCCCAGGAAAGGGCTCCCCAGAGTTTATGGGGAGGGGAGCTCCAGGCAACAAACTCAGTCTTCCCCAGGTGGTCACGTGGCTGAGGGAAAAGAACCTGGTGGCTCTGGAAGAGGGCTGGCAGGACCCTGCCACACTGCAAGCGCTGTTGCGCAAGCAGCAGAATTTGCAGGCCGAGCTGGACACCAGCTTGCACCGGCAGCAGGAGCTACAGCAGGTGAGGCGCTGGGCACAGCCCCAGAGCCGGCAGCTGTGTCTGAGCCACAGTGGTGACAGCAGCCCCTCATTGCCAGTTAGGCCCTGATGGGTAGGGAACTGCAGTTGCTTTCGGGGGGGGTCCCTCTTTTAAAAATAGTACCTTTTCAGTAATTTTAAAGATGATATTTTGACATGCTAGGTCATGGACAGCAATTGTGTGGGTGAAGGCTTCAAAACATAACACCTTTTTTTAACACTGCCTTTCTACCTACCTGAGCCCCCAAACAGACTCCCTCTGATATAAGGTGTCCTGCTAAGTACTTCGTATGCTTTATCCCTTTTAAACAGTTAACCATTATTTTCTCCATTCTATGGGTGAATCTCTAAAATAACGCTTTAGAGAGGTTCAGAAACTTGCAGCCAGTTCAGAGCCTCAGTGGCATGGGCCGGTGGCTAGAGCCCTGGTGTCATCAGCCCTTTGTCCCTGAGGTGTGTACCTTATGACTGCAGGAGGGGCAGAGGCTGCTGCAGGGGGACCACCCAGCCTCAGAGACCATCCAGGAGCAGCTGAAGGTGCTCAGGGAGCTCTGGGCTGATGTGCAGGCCAACAGCCAGAGGAATGTGGCCCAACTGCAGAAGGCCTGCGAGGTGAGGCTATGCAGGCCACAGAGCAGCTGCCAGGGCTCCAGCCTCCACCTCAGGCTCACTCACATTCTGCCCTAGGCCCTGCATCTACAGCGGAACCTGGAGGAACTGGAGAGCTGGCTGGAGCCCATGGAGGTGGAGCTGACAGCCCCTCTTGGGGGCCAGGACCTACCTGGGGTATGCAAGCTTTTGAGGGCCCAGGAGGAGCTGGAAGCAGCCCTAAGCAGGCAGGCCAAGCAGGCACAGACCCTGCTGGGTCAAGCACAAGAGTTGGCTTTCGAGCAGGAAGGCCGCTGCCTGGCCAAAGACGTGGAAGAACAGGCCCAGCAGCTGCTTCAGAGGTAGAGTACCCAGCCCCAGCTTCGGTTTGCTCTTCCCTGGCCTCCTTTCCCTGCTCCCAGTTCGTGTCTCTTCCTCTCTTTCCCCCTGCCCACAGAGTGGGTGAATGCTGTGTCACAGTCTGGCCCCAGTGCTGATGACCACCATCTACTGCTGCAGGTTCAAGAGCCTTCAGGAGCCCCTACAGGAGCGTAGGGCAGCCCTGGAGGCTCGAAGCCTCCTCTTGCAGTTCTTCAGGGACGCTGATGAGGAAATGGCCTGGGTGCAGGAGAAGCTGCCCTTGGCCACTGCCCAAGACTTCGGCCAGAGCCTGAGCGCTCTGAAGCACCTGCAGGAAAAGCACCAGGTGTGGGCCCATGCGAGGAACAGCCACCTGAAGTAGTCAAGGCTTGCAGCTAAAGACGCGGTGCTTTGGGGGCCCCCTGAATTCTATGGGAGTTCCGCGACAGGGCACTCCATGGGAGCAAATCTGTAGGGTGCCATTAGGCTTGAAGCACAACTCGGATTATCCCCGGTGTCCAGTAGCATCCCTGGTCTTCTCTTCTCAGAACCTGGAGAGTGAGATAAGCAACCACGAGGCTCTGACAGAAGCAGTGGTGAGCACAGGGCACAAGCTGGTGCAGGCTGGGCACTTTGCTGCCCACGAGGTGGCCGCCCGGCTGCAGCAGCTGGAGGCAGCACTGGAGCAGCTGCGCACAGAGGCAGCACGGAGGCGGTTGCTACTGCAGCAGGCCCAGGAAGCCCAGCAGTTTCTGACGGAGGTGAGTGGGTAGGATGGAGCACAGAGGGCCAGGGCTGGGCCTGAAAGCTCTCGGAGTGTGTGGGGGCGGGAAGACGACACCGGGAGGTTGAATGCCATACATCCTCCACCTCCTCATCCGGAGTCTTAATTCTTTTCCCCAGAGAACCGAGGGGTGGTTTGCTTGTTTCACTGCTCCTTCTAAACCGGAGGTTTTCAGCCTGTGCTTTACATCAGAAGCACCTGGAACCTTTGCTGCTGGTTATACCTAACCCACCTCCCCATGGTGAATGCCCTTGTATGTGGAGTTAAAGTAACAAGCAAAGAAAAGAAATATGCTTAAGATATTAACCAAATTTGGTTCTATTATAATGAGATAAATAAAATCTTGCCAGCCACAGTGTGCATGTCTATAACCTCAGCACTTAGCTGAGGCAGGAAGATCACTGCAAGTTTGAGGTCAGCCTGGGCTACATAGGGAGACCCTGTCACAAAAAAAAAAAAAAAAAAAGAATCATCCTTAGGAAACACTGACTGTTTGGAATGGGGGGCACACGCTTGTTGTCCCACCTAGCATTTAAGAGGGTCACTCAAGTTGGAGATCAGCCTGGGCAAATAGTGAGACATCTTAAAAAATACCGGAGCTCAGGCTCCATCCAGACCTGAGGAGAACCTGCTGGGCTGGGCTAGGTGACATCATGCAGCCAGGTGAGAACAACTACTCTCAATCTTGAGACTTCAGACCCTAGCTAGGCCTAAACCTCAGAGGAAAACAGATCAATGTCATCACCCAGCTACTAGAGGCGGGATCCTGGCTAGCCGAACACGACCATGTCCTAGACAAAGAAGATGTGGGCCAGAGCGCTGAAGCCACACAGGCCCTTCTCAGGCAGCTGGAGAACACCAGGAGAGACTTGCAGGGATTCAGTCGGCACATCGAGCAGCTGCAGCAGACAGCAGCCCTCCTGGAGGGTGGGCAGAACCCCAACAGGTGGGCAGGAGCCATGCCTGGAAGGGCCTGGGGAAGGTGATCCCACCAGGGCAGCTGAGACTCAGGTCTGAGCTGTCTCCACTGCAGCCCCAAGGTGCTGGCCCAGCTGCAGGCTGTGAGGGAGGCCCACGAACAGCTGCTGCGGAAGGCAGAGGGCAGAGAACAGGGCCTGTGCGAGCAGCTGCAGCTCCACCAACTGGAACAAGAGGCCCTGCTGCTTGATGCCTGGCTGAACGCCAAGGTGACTGTTGCTGAGTCCCAGGACTATGGGCAGGACCTGCAAAGTGTCCAGGCAAGTCTGTCTTGGGCTAACATGGGACAGTTGATGGAGCAAACAGGGCCCGTTTTGGGGGATGAGTGAGAAGCTGCACCAAGTAAGCTGGAGGAGGGCGCCTCTCTGGGAGTATCCTGGGGGTTCTAGAAGGAGGGGGCAAGAGAGTTCAGAGCTGAGTTCAGAATTTCAGGCTGCCAGACGTCACCTCCATGGTGACACTCCTGGCCCCCATCCTTGCAGGTGCTGGAAGTGAGGTTTGATGCTTTCAGCAGAGAAGTACAGCACCTGGGGCAGGCCAAGGTACAGGCCCTGAGGGAATTGGTGGGCCCCCTGGAACGGAAAGCCCCTGGGTGCTACCCCCAGATTCAAGGCCAAAAGAGCCACATCGAGGCCACTTGGGAGAGGCTGGACAAGGCAATCAAAACCCGCACAGAGGTAGGTGGCATGGGCCTTACAGGCGTGTGCGCGTGTGCATAGAAGCTGCCTGCCTAGAACACCCAGAAACAAGCAGATGGGAGCCTTAGTCTCCCACCTCTGGCTTTCTCCAGTGACAAGGCTTCCTCCTAGTGCAGGTCACAGCTCCATGGAGACACGGCACGTGTCCAGCCAGGCTTCTGAGTCCCTCGAGCACCCCCAAGCGTGGGCTCCATTTCTTAGCAGATGCCCTTGCTTGTCCCTTCTCCTTACCCACACAGCCGGGCTCTGCAGGAACTCATGCACTGCCGAGCTCTTCCCCATCTTCCCCACCCCCACCTGTTCTCATCTGACTGCTCTGTGTGGGTTTGTGTGCCAAGAAAACCTTCAGCTTTCTTCTAGGACCTTAGCTCTCAGCTACAACTGCTTGGGTTTTGTTTTGTGTTGTGTTTTTGTGGTATGGGGGATTGAACCTAGCACCTGCCTTTGCACTGAGCTACATCCCCAGCCACCTTTTTAAAATTATTTATTAGTCGGGTATGGTTGTACGCACCTGTAATCCTAGCACTTGGGAGGCTGAGGCAGGAGGATCGTTGTGAGTTCCAGCCCAGCCTGGGCTGCAAAGTGAGCTCAAGGCCAGCCTGAACTGCATAGTGAGACCCCGTTTCAAAAAGACAAAAAAAAAAAAAATTATTTATTCTGAGACATGGTCTCTCTAAGTTGCCCAGGCTAGGCTCAGACGTGAGCCTCCACACCTGACTGCCACAGCTGCTTGTGTCTGTCAGAGCAGCCTAGCTCCCTGTGCCCCACAGCCCAGAAGACATCATCTAGGGTCCCAGCCTGGGGCTGGCCCTCTCCTCCGCTCCTGGATCCCAATGTCGCAGCCTCCTCCATCATGGGGCCCAAGCTTACATGGGGCCCAGGACTTTACCCCAGCCCTTCTCAGACAGACACTCTGTCCTCCCCACGTGCTCCTGGGCCCTAACACATTACCAATAACATCGCATGTTCATCACCAAGCCCAGTTCAGGAGGAGGTGGCCCCGGAGGCCATGTCTCAGGGAGAAGGGGGCTGAGGAGCAGAGGTCAGATCCAGTAGGCCCTCTATCCTCCCCCAGAACCTGGCTATAGCACATGAGCTCCGTGGCTTTGAGCAGGAGGTGGCGGAGCTCCACAGCCGGATGCAGGAGAAAACTACCCTGCTGGAGGGAGAGGTCCTTGGCCATAACCTGCCACCCGTGCAGCTCTTACAGCAGCAGGACAGGTCCCTGCAGGTGAGGGCTCAGGCAGAGGTGAAGGCTGTGTTTCCTTCCCTCCACCCAGTGACTCCTGCCCAAGCCCTCTCCCCAGAATCCCAGACACCCTCCCTTGGGGCCCCAGAACTTGACCCAGGTTGTAAAGCAGCACAGTGGGGGCTCCTGGGAGAGGCCTGGGCATGCACAGGACAGGCATGGGGTCAGGGGAAGACTGAGGCCTGATCTTGTGTTCTGGTTGCAGAGGGAACTGATAGCAATAGAAAAGGAGGTGGCACGGATACAGATGGAGGCCTACCAACTAGGCCAGCGGCACCCTGAGGCTCAAGAGGGCCTGGCTGAGCTGCTGGCCAAGGTGCAAGAAGCCTGGGCAACCCTGGAAATGAAGGCCCAGGAGCGTAGCCAGCAGCTGGCACAGGCAGCCCAGGGCCATGCCTTCCTTGGACGCTGCTGGGAATTGCTGTAGGTGGTGTCCTCCTCTGCAGGGATGGGGGGGGTCATCCTATTTTTAGGGGAACAGGAGTCTCTGCCCTTGCCCCTCAGACCACCCTGCCAGCAACTTCCTTTCCCTGCCCTGCAGAGCATGGGCTCAGGAGAAGCAGGCACAGATGTCCTTAGAGGAGCTGGCCAGGGACCTAGTGGGAGCCAAGCAGCTCCTTGGGTACCACGAGGAGCTTGGGCAAGAAATCCAGGAGCACTGTCTTCAAGCCCAAGCCATATGGCGGGAAGGACAGCAGCTGCTGGACAATGGCCACATCATGTCCCCAGAGGTATGAGCCCAGAGGGTGGGATGAGCCCCATTGCCCAAGACCTCAGAACCCCTGGCAGGCATAGAACAGAAGCCAGCAGGTCAGGAAGGCTGGGTGAAGAATGGAGAGGGGCCAAGAAGGGGTGGGTCCAGGTCTCCTGGCCTGCCCTCTCCCTGCCAGCTCTGCCCCAGGCAGGCGCTGTCCATGGGCTCTCTCGGCATCAGCCCTTCCCCCACCAGCTGGCACAAAGTCTGCAGGAGCTAGAAGGGCAGCTGCAGGGGCTGCGGGAGACCTGGGCCCTGCGTCAGCAGCGCTGTGAGGAGAGCTGGCGCCTGCAGGAGCTGCGGCAGGGGCTGGAGCAGGCGGAGGCCTGGCTGGCCTCCCGGGAAGACCTCCTGCTGGAGCCCAGCTACGGGGTGAGTGAAGGCCCTCCTGGAGCCAGCGTCATCAGACAGCCACAGCCTAGGGTGGACCCCGCTGCGGCCCCACTCACTGGCTGCCCAGGCTGGGCTGTAGAGGCTGAGGGAAGGCCTGTGGGACTCCAGCGCCTCACCCTGACTCGCCTCTCCCAGAACTCGGTGTCCGACGTGGAGAGGCTGCTCCACAGACATGAGGACCTAGAGACACTGCTGGCAGCCCAGGAGGAGAAGTTTGCCCGGCTGCAGAGGAGGACAGAGGTGTGGCGCCAGGCAATGCAGGGGGCCGAGTACACTTAGGAGCTGAGGGCTGGTGGTGGCAACAGTCCCTCCACTCAGCCTGCATGTCAGGGCTCCCAAGCAGTGAGTCCTCCGGAGCCTCCCTAGGGGCTTAGGAAAACCCCACCCTTCCCTGCCACCGGCGTGGGACAGAGCACCATGGTGGGCTGGCAAGAGAGGGCAGTCAACACGGGCACCTGAGAAGACTGGTGCTCTTCAGAGTGGGACGCGGAGGCTGAGTGGCCTACCGCGATGGCTGGTCTGCCTCCGACAGGCTCACCCTGCTCCCAACCCCAAGGTGGAAGAGAAGCTGCGGCAGGAGCAGACCCCTGGGGGAACTGCCAGCCTGCCGACAGCCATCGGGCGGAGGCTGTCTGGGCCCCAGGGACCAGAAGCACAGCCAGCTGAGACCAAGATCCTGCAGCCAGGTGTTGCTACTGGACTGTGCACACCCCTCACCTTCAGCGTCTCCACGGAACTCGAAGCTGGGCAGCAGCAGCCCAGTGGCGCTAATGTCAAGGAGGTGAGTTGTTCCCTCCCCCAGCAGGCATTGCAGCCCTGGGGCTTCAGAAATGAAGGTGTAGGGAGAAAGGGCCTGTGGCCCACTGGCTTGACATTTCTTGAGCCCTGTTGCAGTTCCACGAGGCAAAGGGTACCCCCACTGTGGAGGGGTCTCTGGAGTTTAAGCAGTTGCTTGTACCTGGGGGGAGGCAGGTAAGTGCCAGCAAATTCCCTGCACGGCTGCCAGGACTGAGAGGCCACTTACAGACTTGGGCAGAGCCCACTCCACCCCTACCACTAGAAAAGGATGGGGCTTCTCCTCCTGGTTTCCCTGTCAGTCGCTCCTGGCTCGCTCTTCCTCCCTGGGACCATGGTCTGGCCCAGGCCTCCCTGAGATGCTCTGGGTCAGACTTTAGCCAGGCCCAGCTCTAGCCTCCCCTTATGTGTGCCTCCCCACCACCTCTCCATAGCCCAGTGTGAGCTCTTGGGACAAGTGCGAGGGCCTGTTCATGAGTAAGAGGGTGGCAGCAGAGGCACCAGGCAGCAGGGGGCTGGTGAAGCGGCCAGAGGATAAAGCTGAGGTGGGAAAAGCTGAGTTGGCTGCAGTGATTCCTGCCCCTCATCTCTCCTCAGGAAGTGGCTTACCTGGCCCCCTTCAACCTCAGAGGATCCCAGTGTGAGAGGCTAAAGGACCAGAGTGACAGGAAACACATGTTCTCCTTGAGGTGAGAGGCCCAACTCAGGCAGTAGGAAGCAGGGTCCCTCACGAGAAGGGGAATTTGACGCCTGACTATTTGGGTGCCAGACAGAGCAGCAGGGCTCATATCCTGTGGGCAGCACCACCTGAAGAGCAGGCTGAGCGCTGGCAGCATGCCCCGAGCAACACAGGTAAGCACAGGGAAGGCGGGTGGTAAAGGCAGTGTCCGTTCCCAGGCTCCTGGGCTATGGTGTGTGGTGCCTACCAGGGAAGTTCACTAGTCTCAAACCCTGAGAACAGGGCCCAGGGAAGTTAAGCGACTTGGCTGAAGACATTTAGCAAAGCAGTGGCAGAAGCAGTTAGAACCCCAGCTGCCTTCTAGTCCTGCGCCGCCCTCTGGAGTCCTCCAGACAGGCCTCCCCCTCAAGCCCGTCTGCCAGGACCTATGGATTATGTCCCCTCCAAAACTTCCCTGGCTCTGCTCTATCTAGTCCTGAGGGTTTCTCTAATCTCAGACAAACATCTCTAAATGCCACTCTACAGAAGTGTCTTAGGGACCATAACCAAGCTGGAGGAACTTGAAGCACCCCCTTAGGCTACTTCTGTCATCAGGTGTCTGACAAGTAATGTCCTCCCTCCCAGCCTATGGATCCTCACTCCATTCCCAAGGCCATCTTTCTAGAATCCCAAAGGAACCTTTCTTCAGTATTTGAGCATCTCCTACCTCCAGCTGGGAGGCTGGACACCAGGGGAGCCTACCTGCCTGCCTTCAAGTGCTCAGCTGTGTGCTGATGTCTGTCTGTCTGTCTGGGGAGGGCAGGATGCGGGCAGGCTCCTCCTCAGGGCTGGCTGCCTGGGATAGCATGGTGCACGGGCCAGGGTAACTGTCATCCTCCCCTTGATCTCCAGCCCAAGATCAGAGTGCAGAACCTACGCCTAGCATCTCGGGTGAGAGTGCAGCTGCTCTGCTCAGGTAGGACGGGGGGCGGGGAAGGGGGCTCCAGTGATTGACACATGACTGTCCTCTTCAGCCTGAAGTCCTGGGACTCAGCTTGCCCTGTGGCACTGTGGGGGAACCCCTGGGAAACAGGGAGCCCTAAGACCCTTTGGATGCAAAGCCTAGGCCACAAGGCTCTCTTTCCCCTCAGACTCGAGGGCTGTCCCCACACAGGGGCTCACTCCACCTCGGCACTGCCCTCTGCAATGGGAGACCACAAGTGACAGGCCCAGGCCTCTCCCACTCCAGCCAGCCTTCAGGTAGGTGGCATCCTGGCTTCCCCTTGGCCACCGCTGGGGACCATTGCTGGCCTTGTCTGTCTAGGGCCCATACCATCCTCACTTTGTGACCTCCCTTCCCCCTTTCCACTCCAAGAATGAATCTGCAGGACATCCCACCCTCCTGCTGCTGTTTGTCCCCTACTCCCTGCCTCAGTTTGGGATGCGGGGTGGGGACACATGCCAAGGCTGCGAGAGCTCAAAGGCTGAAGCAAATGAACGGTTCTCTCTGGGGTCCTCAGCCTCCTATAGATCCTGTCATCACACAGATGCTCAACACCTCCCTCCATCTTCCCCCTCCAAGCCACAGGGCTTCAGGCTGTCCAGGAAAAGGGACACTTGGTGCTGGAGAAATATGGGGAGGCACTGGATACAGGCAAGACGTGGTCACCCTCCAGGCAGGAGCACTCAGAATGAGCCCAGATGTCACGGCCCAGCTGTTACCTACCAGGCAGCAGCAGGGACAGGTGTCACCCTGGCAGTCACCCATTCATTCCTACAGGGTCCACAGATCCCGACTTAGGATTCAGGTGACATGGTAAAAGGGGAGGCTTTGTCCTAAGCAAGTAGCTTCTAGGGGTACCAGGATGGCCATTTCCTCTGCCCTGAAACCCCTACGTGTCCAGGGCTGACAGACACAGCAAGCTGGATCATGAGCATCAAGGAAATTATCTCCCATTCACCCAACTGTGGTCATCCTATGGCTGCCTGCCAGCCCCTAACTGATGGTCTCTCTCAGCTGCAGGCACAGGGCTCCTTGGACCAGCTTTTGGAATAGACAGTGTCTGCTGGATGGGCCCCACCAGGTCACAGCCTGCTAGTGAGGCCACTGTCACTGATGTCTGCTTCATCTGATCCCAAGTCTGGCTGCCCCTTCCTCGTGCAGGAAGTCCTCTGACTGGATGGTGGTCTCACCCCACTAGCTGCCTGGGTGAGGTAGACAGGGCAGAGGCACAGCAAGTGACCAAACAGATATCTGCTCTCTAAGGGGCACCCGTGCTGATGAGCCCCCCATGTCAGGTGCCCAGGGAGATGGGCTGCTTTGCATTTTAACCAAGAGCCTGGAATGACAGATCAACTTGGACAGTGCCTCCCATTTGCAAGTGCATTTGTAATGTAAAGTGCTCTGCTTTACTCTGTGCATATGGCTACTTTGTCCCCATCACGCTCTGCAGCCGCCACACGGCCTTTGAGCCCTGCCTGTCTGTGGAAGGTGGCTCCAGTCCGCTCCATGGGGACCCCCCGCTCTGGTTGCAGCCATAACGAGCCAGGCTGCTCACTCCTAGCCTCTTGTAGGCTTTCAGCCTGGACTCTGTGCAGGGTCACTGGTGGCTTCAGTGCCACCTCTGGATGGTCCTAAGCATCACAGCTCTGTGGCTCCAGAGGCTCCAGAACACATGATGATGCTGTTCCCATCCAGACTCGGAGCCACGGGGAAAAGGGCCAGGCAAGGCCCAGCCTGGGCACCTCCCCACCATCACTGGGGTCTGTGCTGCCTCCGTAGCCGCCGCCGCTGCACAGCCTGGTGCAGGGCCTCCAGCAGCCGTTCCTGGTTGTTGCAGATGTTGTAATGCGTCAGCTGCAGCAGCTTGTCCGTATCCTCGGGGCTGTAGGTCACTTTGGTGTAGTGGTATGGGGAGCTGGTAGAGGACAGTTCCACCTCCCCAGCTGCCTTCTCCTCAGGTATCCGCCGCACCCCTGTAGAGAGAGAGCCTGGGCAGGGAGGGGACTGCCCTAGGGGAGGGGTCTGGGCCACCACAGAGAGGCAGAGCAGGAGAGGGGGTAGCTGTGGCTCACCTGGGGCTGAGTACTCCTGGAAGGAGTTGTTGACTAGAGGGAAGTGGAGCACAGCAGGGGCGTCAAGCTGGGTAGGGTCACAGAAGGCATGGCACTCCTGAGGGTGGCTCTGCTCCTCCGGGGTGGGCGAGATGTGAGGGAACGGAATCCCCTGCTCCTGGCAGAAGTGGCCTAGGAGCTGCAGCTGCTGCAGGGTGGGCAGAGGGGTCATTAGCAGGAGGCTCAAGGCACAAGCACTGGACTGGAGACCCACAAAGACACACAGGACCTAGTGCCTACAGGCCGAGGTAGAGACCGCAGTGGATCCCAGGGTGGGCCCACCAAGACAACGGCTTCCCATGCGGTCCTCAGCTTGGGAAAGTGGGGGGCAAATGCATCTCCCTGGAGCAACACAGAAACTCCCAGCAGCGGGGCCCACAGGGCCAGACCCTCCTGAGGCTTTAGGCACAGCAAAGAGGACCCCAGTCCAAAATGCAGATGAAAACCTCCCCAGGTGCTCCAGCACCATAGCTCCTGGGCTAAGGAAGGTGCCCTGGTAGGACTCACAGGATCCAGCATTCCATTCTACATGGTGTCACTGTCACACAACCTAAGGGAAGCTGCACCAGACAGTGGACACCAATGGGCCAAGAAAGATAAAACTAGGGTCACCCAGCACCTCCCGTCTGTCCTGCAGGAGCTCTCACGGGCCCTTCCTAACCTGGAAGGCTCCGTGGAGGTTATAGTCCAGCGACAGGATGAGGTCCACATCCCGGGTGGGCTGCAGGAGTGGCAGGCAGCTAGTATTGATGAGGTAGCCGACATCCAGCAGGCAAAGGTGGGGCTCTGTGGGTGTCAGATGGTTGGGGAGCCCATCCAGCTTGGTAGCTGCAAAGGTTTGGGGATGGAGTGAGAGAAGCAGCAACTGTCATGACACTGGGGGCCACGGACGCTGAAGCCTGAAAAGAGAGTCTTCAACCCCAGCTCCGCTCTGCTGCTCCCCACATGCTGCAGTGCCGACACAAGAGAGCAAAGGGCTCAAAGAGCTGGTGCCCTGGAAAGGGAGGGACACTGCAGAGCTGGGACTGAGGCAGAGAAACTGATACCTTTCCAGGTGGAGAAGTGGGGATGGTGGAAATAGTCCTTGTGGAAATGGAGGCCACGCAGAAAATTGTGGGTAGCCTGGGCCAGTGGGCGCCTTGTAAGAAGGTCAGTGAAGAACTCAGCGATCTGGCCAGCTGCTGTGGGTGGCTCTTCTATCTTCATATGAGGAACCTGCTCCTTGTCTGGACCAGCAAGTGTTGGGGAATGGGGCCCATGGGCTCTTATCCCAGCCTCTCAGTGAAGGGGGAAAAGTTGAGGTCCCCTGAGCCACTACCCTCAGCGGGCTTCCCAGGCACCTACCCAGGTTGGCCCGATCCTGGGCCCAGCGGTCCCAGAACTGGCTGGGGTCTGAGGACCAGTACAAGCTGTCCCGGAGGCTGGCTGCATACAGGTTGCTCCAGATACCTGAGGGAGGGCCATGAGCAGAGTGTCCCCCCCCCATCACAACCTGACCATTCCAGGTGGCCCATCCTAGACCAGGACACTTCTCAGGGGCTGAGCTGCACAGCCCAAGGGCACCCCTCACCTCCCTGCTCCACTCCACTCTCCAGCCTTCCAGGTGGCCCTCACCTTCCAGGAAGCAGATGCGGGACTCTGGGAGCTGCTTCACCAGCCGCCCCATGAAGAACTCAGAGCCAAAGAGCTCAGAGGGGATAAAGGCCCCATACTTGGGGAAGCCAACCTCATAGGGGGAAAACTCGCACCACTCTGTAAGGAAACCACACATCTCAGCTTGGGGCATCCACAGGCACCCACAAACCCACAAACTGCTTAGGCAGCCTTGGGACCAGGAGGCCCAGGCCTCATTGCTGTGACTGAAGCACAGGACTTAATGCCCTTACCCTTGTCCCATAGGCCTGAGGAGCCCTGGTAGGATCAGTCTCTGGGACCTGGCCCAGGAGAGGCGGGTGTAAGACCTGCCCCCACACATCGGCCTCACCCTTCCCTGCCAAGAGCACACATCTGCGTTCTGGGGCCACTCACCTCCGAACTCAAAGGTTGTCAGGCTCTGCTCCTTAGTGTTGAGGGCACAGTAGATAGGCAGAGGGTTCTGGCCACGACTCAGGGCTTCCCGCTGATCTGAGAGCCTGTGGTCATGGGGCTGGGGGAAGAGCATCAGAACCTGAGCACGCAGCCTCCTGGTATCCCAGCCTTTCCCACCCATCCCCTGGGATGGGACAGGTGCCGTCCACACACCCCATCATGTAGCAGTGCCTCATTGATGAGGGCCCACAGGTTGGTGAAGCAGGTGGGGTGGCCTAGGCGGGTGCGCTCAGCCAGCTCCTGCTGGTACTGCCACAGCTTGCTAGGAGCCAGCACGCCCAGCTTGCTCTTTGTCACCTGTGTCTTCAGCAATTTGGTAGGCCCCGCCAGGTCCTTCTGAGACCACTCTGGGTCCTCATAGAGGTTGGCCAAGGCCCTGGGAAAAGGGGTGGTGGGGACAGGGGTCTTGTCACAAAGGACCCCATCTGGGCTTTACCTGCTACTTTCTTCTGGGACAAGAGGTCTTCTGGGGCCTCTCTCTCCATTGCATTTGTCACCCAGTCCTCCTCGTTTTCTCCAGGCCCATGAAGCTCAGCTGCCTTACCACCCATACTTCCCACCCAGACCCAGTGGCTCCAGTACTCAACCTGCTACCAGCTCACCAGGTGGAACCCGAGGCCCCTGTGATGTAGGAGACACAGTCCAGGAGGCCCAGCTCCTTCAGACCAGCCAGCTGCCCATACAGCGATGTCATTGCCCGGATCCCACCACCTGTGGCCATGATGGCTACTACTGGGATCTGGAAAAGAGGGCAGCCAGGCTCAGAGGTCCAAGGGAAGGCCGTGCCCCATGGAAAGGAGGTAACAATCAGAGGCCATTCATCTCCCCCTCCCCCAAGGCCAGTTCAGATGGGATCAGAGGCCTGGGACCAGCTCTGAGTCAGCTGTGCTAGGAGGATCTGATCAGCAATAGCCTTCCAAGGGCCGGGCTTTGCTAGGCATGAAGGCCCCAGGACAAAGGGCACTTGCCCCCGTCCCAAAGGCCTAAAGAACTCTGGTAGAATTAAGCTCTGGGACCTGGTCCAGGAGAGGTGGGTGTAAGATCTGCCTCCCACACGCAGCCTGGTTACCTTCACCCCACAAGAACACAGGTCCTACTTTATCAACTACTAGGCCTCATCACTTCTGCTCCTGCTCCTGGGGAGTCTAAGATTACTTTCTGGAAGTTCCAGAGCCACTTTAAGAGTCTCAACAGCCCCTTTCCCTGCCCGGGCCAAGCCATTCCCCTAAGAGATCACCCAGGCTGATGTGAGCCTCCTGGGACCTTCTGGGAGCCCCAAGACAGGAGGCTGTTCTCCACCAGAGGTCTGTCTCACTCATCAGTTACACCAGGCCCAGTCCCAAACCCGAGCCAGGCTGAGGACCAACAAACACAGGAAAAGAAAGCTAGCCCACCCGGGACATTCCCTTGTGTGCGCTGCAGGTGCCTCGTGCAATGCTCCACACATATGATCCTGATGACATCAATGCGAGGACGTGGAGTTGAGCTGGTGGGCAGGAGGCAGCTATGGGGTTGGCACCAGCTCTGGACCATTTGTAGAACAGCCAGTTCCAGTGTTTAGCCCTGGGCGCAAGCAAGCCCAGAGTGACCCTCCTTAGCCCTACCCAGAACCCAGGCCCCAGACCTCATCCTCCTGTAGGTCTCTGTCCAGCTGCAGGGCCTGCTTCAGGGCTGCAGCCACCACCTGCTTCCTCCTCTTCAGAAAGGCCTGCTCCTCGGTGCAGGGTCCGCCACCCAGCCGCACAGCCAGCTCCCCTGGGCTAGAGGAGAAGAAGCGTCCCTGATGCTGCCCTGGGTGCTCCCAGAGAATAAGAAGCTGGGTCTGCCTCCCTGCCAGCTGCTGCCTCTCCCCTCCCTGCCTCTCCCATGTGACTGCCATGGACACTTGTGAAGTGTGAAGGGCAAGTGAGCGCAGCCCATGAGCGGACAGCAGGGACAACACAGCAAAGCTTGAGGGTCTGAGAATGTGGGGACAGAAGAGGTCATGCTGGTGCCAGGTGCAGGGACCTGACACTGTGAATCCTACCTCAGTGCCGTGTTCTCTTCCTCACTCATCAACTCCAAAAATGATGACAGAGAAAGAAGGACAGGTGGTCCCATGCTCCCTTCTCTGTGTGGGGAGAAGCTGCTCTCCCAAGACAGGGAGGGCTGATGGGTGACCCCTCTTGGAAGGGCATTTACAGTCCATCTACACAGCCTCTACCTAGAAGGGTATAGCTCCCCTTCCCCTTGCCCGGTTTGTGCCCCCAAGCCTGGCCCAATTCTCATCTCCCACCTGTTTATCCAGCCAAGCATTTATCCAGGGCTTCCCAAGTGCTAGGCTCTAGGCTAGGCCCACTGCTCTGACTAGAGCAGAAATACCAAATAACAAGTCTAAGAAAAGTCCTGCTCCACCTGTGAGCTAAGCCCTGCAGCCCTGGAGGGTAACTTACCACGATCCGCCCCATCTCCACCAGACCAGCCACCTGCCCCAGTCCTGCCCAGGTCCCTCCCTGTGGCTTCCCCATGTCCCTACCAGGTCTCTTACCCTTCTTCTTTCTTCAGTTCCACCCTCAGCATAGGTTCCTGGAACCATAAATGCTGCAGTCACAAAGGGTAGCCACCTCCACCCATCTCTCTTCCTTCCACTGGTTCCTGTGCACCCTTATTTGGCCCCTCACACTCCCAGTCTTCTAAAGCAGCTCCCTGGGGCTGCAGCCAGAGGGGCTTCGAGGCCACAGCCAGCCCCATCCCTGTACTCAGCTCTCCTCTAGATACCAGTACCTGGGATGTGGGGAAGACCAGCCTCACCAGCTGGCCAGAGGGCAAGGCCCGCAGTGGCACCTTCAGTTGCTCTTGGGGGTCATCCTGCAGGGGCATGAAGGGCAAACACCCAGGAGTCTTCACCCTTCTTCTCTTAACAAGGACCCCACCACCTCCTCCTCGCAACCAGAGAAGAGCCGCAGGGAGAGGAACAGGTGGCAAGCACCCCGTCTCCACCCAGGACAGTGGCCCCGGGTGAGCAGAGGCCAGGCAGGAGGGGTATGGAGGGAAAGGGTTGGGAGGCTCTGGCCCAGCTCCCCAGGGCAGACACATTACCTGCAGGTGAATACTCAGCTCTTGGTCCCAGGAGGCCAGGCAGTGGAAACGGAAAGAGCTGGTACCCACAGAAGCCTCCTGCAGACCTTCACAGGCCCCTGGAACCACAAGTTGAACTCTCTTCTCTGACCCTAGAAATGGGAACCAAAGCAGAGGCCAAGGATGGCATCTTTGCCCAGAGTCCCTCACTGAGCCTGGAAGGTATTTCCTTCCCTCTCTCCTCTGAAATGAAGATCTGGCCCAGGCCCTGGCCCTGGCTGGGAGACAGAATCCCCGCCACAACCCCTGTGAAGACTGGAGGAAAACCCTGGTCCTGCATGCATTTATCCCAAACCATATTTCTGCATATGGGAACTGAAGGCAGCTAGTGCAAGGTCCCTTCAGGGTCCCCTCAGGAAAGAGGAAGACAGAAATGAGAGTGGAAGGCTTAGACTCACCTTCCTGGTCCCCCACCTCTTTCAGCTGAACGTACAAGCAGGAGAGTTCCCGAGCCTAGGTCAGGGGAGAGCCTCTCAGATACCACTGCAGGCCCCTTGCACCCTCATCCCTATCCCTGTGCCTCAGTGACCAAGCACTGCTTAAGCTGGCTCTCTTCTGAGGAGGCACCCAGGGACCGCAGCCACTCGGAGCGTGGCTCCTGACTCACCACCAGGATGCCGTTGCTGACCAGACACTCTGCACAGTGTGGCCTGGAAAGAGCCCCAGAGATCCTGATAAGGGCCCATGTCTCCCCACAACCCCCAAGCCCAAGGCCTGGGCACTCCTCCGGCATCAGGGAGGGCACCCAGAAGGAAGTACCCCACGCAGACTACCCCATAGCCCTACTCACAGGCTCTGCAGCCGAAATTCCACTTCCAGCTGCAACCCACCCTGGAGAGAAAGAGAAAGGAGTTAGAGTGAGGAAGAGGGGGTGCGTGTGTGCACTCGCATATTCCAACCCAGACATTAGCTGGGCCTGCTGAGGCTGCAGTGGTAGGGAGGGGCTGCTGTCCCTCTTCTGGTTGCTCTGTCCACATTCCTCAGGATGCTACAAGAAAGCTCTCTTTTGGCACACCCATAATACCAGTACTCAGGAGGCTGAGGCAGGAGGACCACAAATTCAAGGCCAGCCTGTGCCACATAGTGAGTTTCAGGCCAGTTTGGACTACGTGGTGAGACCCTGTCTCAACCTGCTACCCCTCCAACTAAGTATAGAAAGCTATCCTTCAGCTCTTCTAGAAGCCAAGAAAGAAGACTGGGGACAGAATGCTCTTTGATTACAAGTTGCTCCTAGCTGGCAGAGGCCCTGGGATGCCAGGGAGGCTGGGCCGTGCCCTGGAGAAGAGGGGTCTGCCTTGCCTCAGTGTTCAGGGAGAAGCTCTGGCGCCGGAACTCCCCAGCTTGAAGGGTCCCTGCATCAAACAACACCGACAACACTGCATCATCCTTGCTCCACAGGTCTTGGTCAAAGACTTTCAGTTCCAGGATATTCTGGAAGGGACCAAAGTGAGATGTCTACAAGGAGGAAGAGTGTGAATGGGAAAGTGAGCAGGGTAGGGGCTGGGGACTGGGAGAGGACAGGTGACCATGGCACATGGAGACAGAGGGCAGGGCCAGCCTGATGCCTGGGCCACCTTGAGCTGGCTGTGGATTCGGAAGCGAAAGGTCTGGTTCCAGACCGGGTCTCTGCTGTTCTTGACGGTGCGCGTCTGCAGCCTGTGGCTGGAGGCTGTGGGCAGCCACAGAGTCACGTAGCAGTCAGAGGGGCTCACTGCAAGGAGTAAGGAAGAACAAGTGCCCATGATGGCCAAGAGCCTCACCAGCCCTGCCACCAGAGCCCACTTCTCCCATCACCTGCAAACCATGCCCAGTGGGCTGGACCCTACTGCCCCTTGCACCCAGAACTGCTCTATCCCTTCCCACTGGCCCCACCCCAATGGTGCCTACTCTAGTGCCTTCCTCCTCCAGCCAGTACAGGGCCAGCATACTCACTCAGGTCCTTGGAGGGCAGGCCATGAGCTTGCAGGACACGCACAATAAGAAGGCAGGTCCCGGGGACCTTTGCCTGCAGGAGGGAGAGGAACAGGTTTGCTGCCCACAGATGGGGCCACAGCAGACTGGGACAATCTTTGGAGGCCTAACCCCGATTGTTCCACCCAGGTCTACTTTCCATGCCATCACAATTTGGGCCAACAGGAGAGACAGCTGCGCTGACACCTGGCTACACTGATGTAGTGCTGCACCAGGGCTCTACGTACGCTCACTTACCTACCACACCACAGCCCTGTGTGGGGGACTATGATGAGTGACCTCACACAAAAACTGAGGCAGAGGAGCAGCCATCTGCTTTGAGATCTAGTTGGGACTGGCCAGCTCCTATTTATGCCCACACCTAGCAGCTTCTATTTCCTTTAGCCTTTCCACCCCACACCCCAGCTATAAAGCTTTGGCACTGGTCATGGGCAGCAGGGCATATAAGCCACCTTGAGGGCAAGTGCCATGGCAGGGCCTGAGTACCTTGTAATCTGTCCCCATGCTATCCATCCCATCCTGGAAACCAGCTCTCTGCATAGTGTAAGCAGCAGCTATCATCTTCCAGGTTCTACGATGGTCCCTAAAGAACTCTCTCCAAACCCACTCCTTGGTTCTGGAGATGTAGACGCGGGCCCGTGTGCTAGGGCAAGGGAAGCCTATGTCAACTGGTCCTTCCTGTTGGTTCCCATCCCTGCCTCTGGAAGGGCACCAACAGATCCAGTCCAGGGAGTTCCTGAGGCAGGGGCTGGGCTGGGGAAGCTCATCGCCTGCAGTAGGGCCCCACACCCCAACTGAGTCAGCAAGAGCATCAAGCAGTCACTTCCCAGGGCCCATTCCAGGGCAGAAAGTCCCTCAACCCAGGTCCCTGCCTCTGCTCACTGCCTAGGTCCCACAGTCAGCAAGCACCCTTTGTGCCTAGAGACTGCAGCTCCTCTAAGAAACAGCAGAAACCAGGTGCAAGATGGGGGCCAGGTTCAAAGTTAAAAGTTGGCTAAAAGTCGGAGGACTCTGGGATGCAAGGGACACCTGGACCATGCACTGGAGAAGAGGGGCCTGTGCCAGATACCCTCCATAGTGGGGCCCAGTACCCTGTGAGGCCTTACCAGAGCCATGAGGCTGAGTCCTCAGATGCAAGAATGATGCGGCAGTGGCCACAGGAGCAAGGACTACTGGCTTTTAAACCACAGCCAGGTGTCCCAGCTGGCTGGAGCGCCTCCCTGGTCCTGCCTACCTGCCACCTCCTCTCCACCCAAGTCCACGCCCACTGCAATAGTCCCAGAAGCAAGGCACCTTAAGCCTATACTGGAGCTGCTGACACACTCATGGTGCCATCCCTAGATCCACAACGTCCCAGATGTCCCACCCAGGGCCTGCCCCAGCCAGCCCTGCCTTGAAGGAGGAAGCTCCAGGTCAGCTTGCTGTCAGGGTTGAGCTGAAGGAAAGCAGAGCCTGGGGCCTGGGGCCCAGAGCAGCAACGAACTGAGGAGCCGAGTGCTCAACATTAGCAGGGGCTTTCGCAACTTCCCGGTGCCTGTACGACAGGAATGCCCAGTCCCAGCTGAAGCCCTTGGCCAATCTGAGAAGTACTGCAGGCCCCATCCCAATCTGGCAGGGGAATGGCTCTGCCACGTAAGCAACCCTTCAAAGCTATGTCTGGGTCTGCGGTGCCTCCACCCTTGGGGTGGGTTGGCCAGGATGAGCCTGAGCATTGGCACGCAGAGGCAGGGTCTCTTCCTGCTCTTCACAAGGATGGCAAAGGAGACTGCCTCCATCCTCAGAGGGCAAGCCCCAGGCGGAATGGGACCCTGTCCCCTCCTGCCTGTGCCCACTGTGGGGTAAACAGGGTCTACCCCTAGGGCACGAGACCGCATCAGCTGCCGAAGAACTAAGAGGGGGTACAGCTAGGAATGAAGCCAGGAGCCCTGAGCCAATGAGGCTTTAGCCAGACAATCACAAGCCAAGGCCAGCCTGCCTGCCCCAGCGAAGGGCGGTAAGGGTTGTCATGGATAGTGCTTTGGGCAGCAGACAGCTCTCCATTGTCTCCATCTGGCCTGTACCCCCATCAGGATCACCCAGAGATTTTTACCTGAACCTTCATACCCTCACCAGGCCGCAGAAAGCAACTGTGACAGAGGGTCAGAATAGGTGAATTACAGACTCTTTTATTGACCACTTCCTCTGTGTTGGCCCATGCTGGCCTCCCAAATATTATCTCCATCCCCACAACAACCCTTGAGGTAGACCATTATTATCTCCGCTTTGGAGCCAGGACACCAATGCCAAGAGGTGGTGACAGGTCCAAGGTCACAGCATGGGTGACTGCTGCGCCTGATCCCCACTCCTCCTCACCTGTGTGGCAACTTCCTGGCACCCACACTAGACCTGCCTGACACCTCCTGACTGCATCCTAACCCTTGCTGGCCCTGGACCAGCAGCAGCAAGTATGCAAAACTCCAGGTTGTCTCTGCAGTTGATGAAGCCAGGAAGAACTTGCCCCTTTCTCCTGAGCTATCCTTGGTGGTATCCACAGGACACCATCAGTTGAGGCCTGCAGCCTTTGTGAGGGAGTCGAGTAGCTGGAAGTAACTGTACTTGAGGTCGTACTCCATATCATACCAGAAATTCACTGTGGGGAGAACGGGGATGTGAATGTGAAGGTCCACATTTTAATCTGGAACCCCCAACTTTCCCCAGATCCCCTGCTGGCCCTGGCAGGGCCCCGCTCCAGGCGCCTCTCACCAGCAATGCAACCATGGGACTGCTGGACATGGTGGAACCACAAAGCTGGCAGGTAGAGCAGCTCACCAGCCTGCACTGTGCAGCGCAGGGCCTGTGCCTGGCTGTAACTCGGGTACTGCACTAGGTCTGGAGCCAGGGGGTCCAAGGGGATCCAGGGCACCTAGGACACAACAGATGCCAGGAGAGAACAGGCCCCTTCAAGGCCTGGGCCCTCCAGCTCTGTCTCTTCTGAAGGTGAATATCATGGATCCATCCTCTGCTCAGTACTGCAAGGCCCCAGAATTAACATCTTTTCAGAGCAAGGTGCCTCCTCCCCAGATCTTCCTGCCTATTCCTCAGGGCTCTTTTGTCTCCCCACAGTCCAGGAACAGGACAGATACCTTCTCCATGGCTTCTTCATCCACCATCTTAAAGGTGCCCTCTTCAGTCAGCTGGTAGCTTGCTGGTGTGTACAGCTCTGCAGACCAAGAGAGACAGGTGTGGGGAACCTTGCCAGCCTTGCCAGTTCTGCCCCATTCCAGCAGGCCCATGTGTTCCCTGGGTGCAGGGCAAGAGGGTTGGGGTTTCTGGTGCAGTTTAGATCTATGGCTGTGCCTTGGACCTGGACATCAACCTGCCCAGGACTCTTGCTGCCCTCCCTCTACTGCAGGCCACCACCTCCACAGCCTCTCCTTTAGGCCACATCCCTACCATAGGGGATGAAGGGCCGGTCACTGGGCGGATGTAACAGGAAGTGTTTCTCTCCCGACACCACACAATACAGGTTCTCATAGTGGTCCTTGTGCACTGCGAACACAGGTTAAGGCAGGGGCAAGTCTCCTTATCCACAGCCCTATACCCCAAGACTATCTATGACAAGAGGAAAAGCACCTGAAGGGTCAGCTGGCCTGAGAAGGTACCAAGAATTCGGGTGTGCACCAAAGAACTTGGCCCACCAGGACTGGACACTGGGCAGGGCCCGGCTCACCTCCACCATAAGGGTAGGCACAGCCAACAGGCTTCTAGGTTCCCTGCCTGAGCTGGCCTTCACAGTGCCTTCTAGGGACCCAGAAGAAACAGCGTGCCCCACTCCCAATGCCATAGGTACCCCCTCAGCTGTCAGGGGAGATCCTCTGTAGTGTCTATGTCCCACAATCCCGAAGGAAGTCTGAGAGACCTACCAGCCCAACTGCCAGCCTATCAACCTTCTGGGCAGGCCTCATCCTCCCTCCCTCTCCCACTGGCTCCTCCCTGCCTGTGACCCCCAAACCTACAGGATGTCACTGCAGCTGCCTCCCCGAGCCAGAAGTTCACAGCATCAGGCATCTTTCCTGTGGAGCAGACGGTAGGTCAGGAAGGCCCCACGTAAGGGTGCTCAGAAGAACCCAGGCGAGAGCAAGAGAATCTAAGCAGGAAGAAGAGGAAGAAGGTGGGAGCACTTCCCCCGGGGCAGAAAGAAGAACAGCAAGCTTCAGTTGTGTGTCTATTGTTAAGTCCAGGCCAGAGGCAGGCAGGAGGGCAATACCTGACCCCAGAAGACCCAGCCAACAGCAAAGGGAGAAAACAGGCTGACTCCCTCCTTCCCACTTCATCCCTGCGCCACCCCACTCCCTGCACCGCCTCCACACACCCAGAGCCTCAGAAGCCCAGGGCACATGGGGCTCCAGGTCAGGTAGCAGCTGGGGCAGCTCAGTAGCCAAGTTGGAGCACTGCTTCTGCACATAGAGGACTCCTGGGTGCTGGGCCTGACCCTCCAGCACATCCAGCACGCAGCTCAGGGGCAGGTGGCGCTCTGCAGGCATCACGAAGCGGTCCCCTCGCACCACATCTGCATAACCATCTGGGGTCACAGCCACACTCACCTCCGTGGAGCCCACGGTGGCTCTGCAGGAACAGACACAAGGCTCAGATCCAGCTGCCAGAAACCACTGCCCACCCAGCACCCCGGGGAAGCTCCCACCTTAAGTAGGGAAAGGACCACTTTTGAAGGGCTGGCCAGTGCTGCAGGGCATTGCGGATGATGCAGGGCCTGTTGGGGCACACCCAGTCCCGGTAGAAGCAGAGTGGAGTAGGGGGCTGGTCCAGGTAGGGCACAGCAGGAGGCACACTGAGCTCTGAGAGATGGGGAAATGTGGGGCTGAAGACAGCAGCACCCAGTCTGCTGCACTGCTGCATAAGAGATGCCTGCCCTTCCTGGGAAGGCCATCCTGTGTCACTGGGTAATGCACAATGGCTGACGAAGGGCCCTGGACAACCAGGAAGGCAGCTGAAGAGAGACAACGTAAGACACACACAAATACACGGATAGGCCAGGGCTGCTGCTCAGCCCATAACCCAAACTCCCCAAGGTGTTGTGTTAGACCCTGTACAAGGGACCCTCAACCTTGCCACCCAGGAGGGGCCAATCTCCCAGCATCTCTTAGGAAGGGAGCCACTGAGCTGGTGGAGAGAGGCCCAGAGACCTCCATGGGCTGGGGAGGGGGTGGGGGGAGGCTCCAGGAAGCCCCCTCCAAAAGTGATGCCAATGTGGATATAAAGGGTTGACCCACCGCTATCTCAAGAAGCTTGTAACTCACCTGAGGAGATCCACTATTGGGTAAAGACACTAGAAGAAAGGTGAGGACTGTCTTGCATCTCACCATCCTTGGATATTGGGGCTCGCCAGGGATATTTGGGCAGCTTATGCAGCAGGTCTCTCGTGGTCCTGTGTCAGTTATGACTTACCTTTTTCCCTGCTCCTGCCATCTTACTGTTTGTCTCTAAGCCCAGGTGATCCTACCAACTGTTTCTCAAAGCCACCTCTGTCTCCCCTTGACTTCCTTTTATTTTATTTGTTTGTTTATTTATTTATTCATTTATTTATTTTCAGTCTTTTTGAGACAGGGTCTCACTATACAGTTCAGGCTGGCCTTCCGCTCACTGTGTAGCCCAGGCTAGTCTTGAACTTGCAACGATCCTCCTGCCTCAGCCTCCTGAGTATCTGGGATTTGTAGGCATAAGCCACCATACCCAGCACATCAAAGGATTCTTTACCAGGCATGTGACAAGATGAGATAATATTTACGGATGACTGGGCCCAGATGGTGGTGCTCTAAGAGGGGAGTTAAGCCAGAAAAACTAGTTCACTGCAGCAACCATCTGGCTCAGATGTTAGAGACACGTTCAACTGTGAAGTGTGTATTTACTATGTACCTACTACATGCTGGGCACTAGGGCTGCATCAGTGGAGCTACTGTCCTGGAGAGGGAGACAGAAAGATATGTGAAATATATAGCAGGTCAGAGGGTGATAAAGCTAAGGAGAAAAAGCAGGTAAGGATAAGACTGTTTAGGGGCAGACTGTAATTTTAAAAAGGCTGGTCAAGGAAGGAAGCCCTAGTTAGGTGGCATTTGAGTGAGGACTAAAAGGAGGTCAAGTTTGTGGCCAGCTAGAGCAACTTAGGGGATGTAGCTAAGCACATGTAGGGCCCTGGGTTCGGTCCCCAAGGCCACCCATACCCACACTTTGATGGATTACCACTTCTCCTTACAGAAGACAAATTGCTTGGCATGTACCCAACGTGCTGTATGAGCAGATCTACTATGATTTGCTCTGGTCTCATGCCTATCCCTCACCACATACCACAGGCAGTGCTGGACTTTGTTCCTACAGCTCACTCAGGTTGAAAAGCTTCTCTGGTGGTTTTTACAGGGCACAGGGCTTTGCTCTGTTACATGCATCCTCCAGGTCTGGCTGAAATGCCTTGGCCCCAGTCAACTCTTATTGCAACCTGCTCCTGATGGCCATGAACTCATCTTCACCACTGACATCATGCTCCACCTCTCAGGGTCACTTCTCCACACCAGTCATCCTCACCTTGCAATAAGCCAGAAATGAGCAACTTTAGATCACAAATTGGAACTGAGTAGGAAGACCCTAGTACATCCAGAAAAGAACTGGCGCACATGCGCTTGCTTCCCTCACTAGGGACAAGATGGAGCCTGTCAGGAGGACAAGGGAGAGAGGAAATGCCAGGTCATCAGAGTAGTCACCTGCAGAGAAGGTGTGATGGCATTCAGTACGTCTTCCTGTTGTGCCCTTGAGGATCGGAGGGAGGGCAGCCCTGGGATTCTCAAAATACGTACAAGCTGTCATATTTTATTCTTTGGATTTTTGGCAATTATTTGCTTTATTTGCTCACCATTTCCTTCAGAGAATGACTATTTTTCTCTCTTAGTTCTTCAAAGTAAGGATTTGAAAAGGGATCCCATCATGTAACCTAATAATTCTTCTAAGAATTCAACCAACAAAAATACCCACGTCCACAAAGACTCTTCCGGGCACGCCAGTTTCTTCACTTCACTGAACACACCAAGCATAGGACACTCTGCCGGTCCACAGCTCTCTGCTAACCTACTGCTTCCCTAGGTCTTCCTTTTAGTGTGCTGGTTAACTGCCTCTTCGCTGAGAACACAGGCTCTGTGAGCTCGTTTTGTCTGTTCAGTGATGTACCCCAAATACACTGAACAGAACCTGGCACACAGAGGTGCTTAAAAAATACTTGCGAAAAATTGTCTTTTGCTCAAAGAATATTGAAGTATTCATTGTAGAATTACTAAAAACGACCTACATGCCTATCTCCATGAGCTGATTAAGTAAATTACAGCACTGGTTCGTAGGTATGAAAAAGACTGAGGTGGACAGATGTGGAATGACCTCCAGGATGCATGGTACTGAACCGTGTACTCAACAAGCAACTAGTTACCGTATACCAAAAGAGGAGTATAGATTCACGTGTACATGGACATGAAAATTTTTTTGGAAGGATGCAAAGTGGGTAAGGGGTTGCAGGAAAGCCTTATTTTTTGTGGTATTACTTGGAAATGAAACCAGGGTCTGGTGCAGACTGGGCAAATGTTCTACTAAGCTACACCCCAGATCCCCTCTCTCTGGATACAGTAAGAGCCCCAGTAAAAGCTTACATACATTATATACCCCAGGTGCCTGGATAGCTTCTCTACGGTAAGAAACCACGCAAAAGAAGGTAAACTCGGCCACAGCAGTGCGCGCCTGTAGTCCCAGCACTCTGGGAGACTGAGGCTGCAGGACCATAGGATAAAGCCCAGCCCGGGCAACTTAGCAACTGAGACCTCGTCTCAAAATAAAAAGGCTGGGATGTCGTTCAGGGCGAAGGCCGGGGTTCAATCCCCAGTATACCTCAAAATAAATAAACGCTATAAATAGTAAGTGCTAGTTTTTTTGAAAGTTTTCTATAGAGTTGCAAAGACGCACTGCCCAGGTTTATTCAGCACGACGCTAACCTGGGGAACTCAGAATGGCACCAGGAAAACCGTAAGACCACACCGGGCCTTGGGAATAGAGCGAATCATCACCCGCGGAAGGCACGAGGGCGCGCAGGCACTGCAGGAGGAGTGCGGACGTCCCCGCCGGCGGGGGCCGTGACGGCCGCACGAGCTCCGAGTTCGCGGGGCGGCCGCCCAGAAGGAACTAGGTTCCGGGCTCCCCAGGGCCCCACGCTTGGACGCCGCCGCTCGGCGAGCAACCACTCACCCCGCGCCTCAGCCGGGAACTCTCGTAACGCCCTCCTCACCGCGTCCAAAGGCCCCGCCGCCATGACGCCCGCGCTCTGCCCGGGGCGCACGCCGGTTCTGGCCCCGCCCCCGGGACGCGCCGCGCCGCGCCGGGCCCCGCCCAAGCCGCACTGCCAGGCCCTCAGCACGCTCCAAGTGCTGCGGCGCCCGGACTGGCGCTCCCCGAGTCCCGCTAACCATGGGGTACAGCGAGAAGTAACATCTTCTGTAGCTGGCGCCGCTTGCTAGCATCCCAGAGTTAACAAATGATTGTGTTTATTGACAAGTTCAAACAGCAATACAAACGGACACGTTAAAAACACTCCCCACCCGGTGCAGCCGGAGAGGAGACAAGCGCCACGGTCCGGATAAAGTATAAAAGTTATAAATAAGGGGATCTCAAAACTGGGGTGGGGCGAGTCGACGGAGCGGGGCAGTGGCGGCCAGCGACCTTAGACATGCACGAAGGGACGTGGCGCCGGCCACAGGCCCCCACCCGCCCCTGGCAGAGGGCAAGGAAAGGGCGGCTGCCTTCTCACGAACTGCGGCGGGAATGTCGCGCTCGCCTCGTGGACAGGCTGGCTGAGGATCCACCTGGCCCGGAGAAGCCAAGCCGGCGCCTAGCTGTGGTGGGTTGTGGCTGGTGGGGAGCTCTAACCCCCAGATGGCCAGCTGCAGCACTGCCAGGGGTCCACTCCCGGCTCCAAGAGTTCTTGGGGTCCAGGATTTGAGTTTGGCCATGTAGGTGGTGGTAGCAGAGACAGGTTTTGCCCTGCTCGGGCCACTCTCCAGGACCCAGTTTCTTTATAGCATCTACCTGCAGTGCTGCCCACGTGTGCGCCACGTGTGCGCCGGCTTTTATGGCCTGAACCCGTGGTCACACTGGTCCTGTTGTCTGGGGAAGAGGGAAGCAGGGGGCCCAGAGACACGTTCTTCACCGACTTTGCACCATCTAACTGCCTGGTCCTACCCTGCGGGCCTATGCTCTGTCCTTCCCTTCATCCCTAACACCTGCCCCTCTAATGCTAATCTGCCCCCCACCTCTGCCACTTCCCTGTGCCACCTGCCACTGTCCAGTGTGTCTCTCGGCCCCTGCGCCTCCCTTACTCCCAGCACTGCTTCTGTGGAGATTCATTCTACCAGGACCAGGTAGGTGTTCATGGGCCACCTCGCAGCTGGGGTGTGGACACCGAGAATCAATGTTTTGTGTTGTGCGTTTCATTCCTTTTCATGCTTCTTGATATGAGTTCCACATAAACCAGGGCGGTGAAGCTGAGGCAGAATGTGAGAGGCACCCAGGCACGCATGAGCCAGCCAAATACTCCAGTGAGGGGCACACACGTGTGTGGAGTGGGAGGGGGGCTGGTTTCATCATTGGCCAAGGTCCTCCGAAGGTTGACTGGCGCCCTGTAAACCACGAGGGAAAGTCCACAAGCTTCTGACCACAACATCTGGGATGCAGTGAGAAGGCAGGAGCCCTTGGGCTTCCACAGGCCACTGGGGACCAGGGCAGGAGGATAAGGCAGGCTAAGGGGCTGAGGAAAGGAGGCCAGGGCTGTGTGTCTGCCCAGCAGAGGGCTTTACTGTCCTGCAGCAACATCCTACAGCTGGCTCCACGCGCTCTAGCCAGGAGGGGAGGAGCTCTTGGGAGTTGAAAGGAGTGGAATGTGGGGGGCTCAGGTCCTGATACCAACTGTCTCCTGAGGGCTGGGATGCTATACCTCTGTGTGCTGCCAGAAGCTGGGAGAAGTAAGCCCTGCTCTGGGAGCCAGCAGTGTACAGCTGGTGTGGGAGGGGAGTGGGAGGAGAGGAGCACACTGTTGGCTGGTGGCACTGAGTACCGTGTCCCCGCCCGCCTCTACCCATGGAGTACCCTGTGTGTGAGCTGATCCCTGAAGTAATTTCAAATGGCTTCTAAGCAGAGAGGGCCAGCCCTTCCCAGCGTCCATTAGACGGGGCAGGCTGCCCTCCTACCCTTCACAGCACCAAGATGACAAAGACTCAAGACCTCTGCCTGCCAGGAGCCACTGCAGGGGCTGTGGAGGCAGGAGTTCCAAGGAAGTGAGGGCACAGTCAGGGAAATAAATTAATAAATACAGGGCCCCATGAGGAGCAGCTGGGAAAGCTGCTTCCGGGTGAGTGCTGGTCCCTCCATCCACTCCAAGCATCCCACAGGTCATAATGAGTAGAGGAGGAACCACAGTTTGGAATGGGGAGCATTCACGTGGGACAGGCTCTGGAGCTCAGAGTTTGCGTTCCATGCGCCGCTCCACGGCTCGAAGCAACAGCTCCGAGTACTGCTCCAGCAGGGCCTGTGTTTGCTCAGCTCCTACAGCCCCAGGGCTGCTGCCTGGGCTGGACAGCGCAGTCCCCGCCAGGGCCTCTAGCTCCTGCCGCACGGAAGAGAAAGTGTCCCTGAGGAGCTGAGTGATTCGACTCTGTTCTGCTGAGGGTGTCTTGCAGCTTGCCACCTGCGACAATCCCGAGAGGTGAGTTGGAGGAGCTGTGGGGGGCTCGTCCGTGGCCCTGCTAGCCCTAGTCTGCCCGAGAAGTGACTGGCTGGGAGTTCTACACTCCGAGATCAACAAGCATGACCAGGGACTGTGGGGTCCATTCAGACTCTGGAGGGTGACCCACGGGAGGGTCTTTTCAGATTACAAACCATCCACAGCTTGCTAGCCACCCCTCACAACAGCTCCCACAGGCTTCACTTCCTCTTCAAAGTGTGGCTCCTCATGGCTTGCCCTTATGTCTAGCATGGCCAAATCATTTTTGGATATGCAAAAGATACTATTAATACTCGTACTGGGACACTAGGCATAAATGACACAGTCTTTCCAAGCCCCAGCCTCCTGTCTGAGGAGGTCTCCAGTGCTTCACAGGTAGGTGCCTGGTTCAGCAGCCCTGGCCCCTGGTTCAGCGGGCCTAGCCCCTCTCACATACTCCACCCAGGGTTCTTCTGAGTGCTCCAGCCATATCATTCTAGACACTCAGCTGTCCAACACTCAGCACTACTGACATGCTCCATCTTCCTGCCAGCTGGTGCCAACACTCACCAAGTGGTACAGCCCCACAGCCTGGCGCAATTTCCCACGCAGCTCGGCCACAAGTTGTTCACACTGCTCCAGGCTCATGGCTGGTTCTGAGGGACAGATATAGCTCAGTGAGGCTCAGCAGGTTACCATGTCAGGCCTCCTCACTCAAGGGCACTCAGAGCAGGAGAGCCCTACCCTTCAGCACTGTACCTCACCCCCCAGTCCTCTGGCCCCCTTCCCTTCTAGCCCCCCAACCCAGCAGCACACAGACAAGATCCAGAGGACAGGGCCAGCTCCAGACCCAGAGTCTGGAAGGCACTGCAAGGTTAGGCGGGTCACAAGATCATGAAAGTTGTCAGAAGTGTTTCCCCATCAGGGATGTGACTTATGGACTGAGACAGGTGCAGACAGGATGAAAAATGCTAGCGGCTAAGTGCACAGAAATGGGATGGAGCCAGAGGGTGGCTGACAGACAGGGAGAAAGGATGGGGCAGGAGATGGGAGCTGGGGAGCTGTGCACACCTGAGTCTTGGCTCAGGGATGACCCTGGCCTGGTGCATTCCAAGGGGTTGGGAGTCTTCTCAGGGGGTGGGGGCTGGAAGTTCTCAGGGCCTCGGAGGAGGCTGCTGATTGGCAGTCGCTGGGCACCAGGGCTGTTGGGCCCAAGATGAGCCTGGTACTCTGTCCTAGCCTTGGGAATGGTACCCGCCCCCACACAGGCCTGCCTCTCAGCTGGACTGCGACCCTTTCCTAAGCCTGCTTGGGAGCAGGGCTGTTCCGTGTCACCAGGGGCCCGGCCCTTGGTTACAGGTGAGAATGTGGCCAGGGTAGGGCGGTCAGGCAGTGGTTTGGGGATGTCCAGGACTAGGTGAGCCCGGCCAGGCAGAGTCAGCTTGCTGAGTGGTGAGACTCGGAGTGGGGCAGGAGCTTGAGGTTCAGCTGCTAGGCCCAAGTTCTCCCCAACAGAAATACTGCGGGCAATCTTGGCCACAGAACTGGTGGTGGGGCTCTGGAAGGAGCAGGGCCGAGATGGACGTCCATCAGCCTTGGGTAGGGAGCCCAGGCCCTCCTGGGTCTCCATCTCCTGTGAGAGCAGGGGGCCCGATGCAGGTACCTCGTCTGCAGAGACAAGAGATACAGGTGGTCAGGAAGGGTGCCTGGTGCTGCTGCTCAGTCCCAAGGAGGGCATATGCCCACTCCACGGCCACAGCAGGCCCGCCCTCCCCCAGCATGCCCCTTCCATGCTTCCCGCTCACTGGAGCTGAACCCACCAGGCTCCGCACCCTGTGGCATCAGACTGTGCACAGATTGGGCTTTCCGGAGTCCAGCCAAGGGGCTGGCCGTGGCCACTTTCTTGGGGACCCAGCTGCTGTCCAGGTTGTGACGGCGGCGGGGCAGCAGTATGGAAGCTGCCTCACGGGAACCAGGGGATGTGTCCACCTCCAGGGGTGCTTCCAGGGGACTGGCACCACTGCCTCTCAGCTGGTCACCAGATGCCTGTGGCACCTGAACAGGTCTCAACACCACTGCCAGGCTTGAAGAAGATGGGGATGGTTCCCTACAGGGAAGAAATATGGGAGAAGGCTCAGTGCTCCTCCCACCAAGAAGGTGAGCTGCTCTCCCAGCAGCAGCAAGGAACTAGGAGAGAGGGCAGGTACAAAGCCAGACAGGATCAGGGCCAAGCCACTGTCCCCATCTAGGAGTGCAAAACACCCCTGGGGAGGGGAAGGGCAGGGCTGAGTGCTGCTCCAGGAGCAGGAGCACTGGGGGTTACTGGAGCCGAGCTGCTGTGGGGTCAGGGCTCCGTACCTGAGTGGGGGTGTCTGCACTTGCAAAAGGAATCGTGAAGAGATGCTCCGAGACTCTGTCCTCTCTGTGATCCGCACCAGGCCTCCTGCCAGAGTCCCGGAGACCATGAATTGAGGCAGAAGCCAAGCCCTTGGCCCAGGTTCTGCCTCCCTGAGATGGAAACCCCAAGGCACTGCCTGCCCCTCCCTCTCAGCTAGACAAGGAGGGGAGGGGCAGACAGCAGTGACTGGACGCTGACCCTCTGACCACACCTGGAGCAGCCCCATTGGCCAGAGTCTCAAAGTGCTGTTTTAGGAACTGCTCCTGATCCGGGGTATGGGGGCTGCCTTCCTGGAGCGCATAGAGGCCAGTGCCTCCCTCCTCTTCTTCCTCCTCTTCATCACCCTCAGCTGGTTCTTCCAGGTCTGAGGAGATGCCATCCACACTCAGGGGCTCCGTGCTCTCAGAGTCTGGATGTGGGGAGGGAGAGGCATCACACTGCACCTGTCACCAGGACTTCCTCCCTACCTCAGACAACTGGCCCCTCCCCCCAGGCTGCAGCCTCACCTTCATTGGGGTGCTCGGGGCTGGAAAGGCGGCTGCTGCTGTAATCCACGGAGCAGGCACTATCCGGGCTGTGCTTTTCTGAGCCCCTGCTGCCTGGGTACACTCGTCCCCGGGTTCCTCGGGTCAGGGCCTGCACCTGGAACTCACTGCTGAGAAGGCCAGCAGGGGAAAGAAGACCATGAGCAGACAAGAGCAGCAGCCCACTGAGTACAAGCAGGACCAAGGAGAAGGTGGTGGCGAGTGGTAAGCAAGCCCTAAGCTGCTGGGGACCAGCCTTCTGCCGACTCAAAAGCACTCAAAGGAAAAGGAAGATAGCTGTAGGGCCCCAGAAGGTCTGGCCAGGGCAGGTCCCTTGCCTGGTATCCATAGTGGGGCTGTCACTAGGCTCCGGGTACAAAATTCCATCTTCAATGGGTGCAGGCTCCAAATCTTGGGCAAAGACCCCTTCCTCTTGTGACAACAACTGGATAATGTGGGGGCAGGAACAGGGTTGGGAAGCCTGAAGCCGAGACTTTTCATTCTGGGAACATACAGAGGGACATGACAGGGTTACTTGCGTGAGAAGAGGGCTTTAGGGAAGACATGGAGGTGGGCAGGGGTTTGGTATGCATCGATTCTGGGGAAACTTAGTATTCCAGCTCTATGGAAAGAGAGCAGGAGGCCAGGCTGGGCACCGACACTGAGCTTCCAGAAGAACTGTATTACACTCCAGACAGCCGGCCTCCATCCCTACTTAATACCAAGAATCACCCGAGGAACCCAGCCCAGGGCAAACGCCACCATTGCCACTCCACCCCAACCCTTTCTCTGCCTACCCCAATACCAACAACCCAACCTAGCCTGTAGTCAGGTGACCCATCTACCACAGGGACAAAGCAAGCACAGCTGGACCCAGGCTCAGGCCTGTTGATAGAAGGCTAGCTGAGGCTCCTTGGAAGTCTCTAGAAAGTTGACAGAAAGCTGGCTCACCTGGCTAGCACACGAGGCCTCAGGGACCTGCTGACCATCTTTCCCAGGTCCAGACGGGGGCATGGCCAATGAGTCCTGGTTGGACCCCCGAAGGGGTGGGGCCAGGGTTTCTAGCTGTCGCAGGTCTAGCATGGAGCGAACACTCAACGGCACACCTGGTTGAGCCCAGCGTCCCCTTCTTCTGGGTCCTGAATTGGCTGCTGGAGCTGGGTCCAGGAATTCTGCTGTCTCCTGGGCCTTGTAGGGGTTGGGGGTGGGGGAGGAGTAACCGTAAGAACCATACAATGCTGTCAACAAACACTCACTGTCCCTCACTATGTGCCACACCCCTTCCACACACTAGGTCGTTTCATCCTCACACCCATTTAACGGAGTAGCTACTATTATTATCCTCATTCTTACAGCTGAGGGACATGGGAACACAGAGGGCTCAAATGTCAAGTCAGGCTCCTATACAGTAGGTGACCTGCCGGTCAGGCTGGCTCTGGAGTTCATGCTCCTAGCTGCTCTCCCTGCTCTCACATAGGAACCTCTAGTCTCTGCCGTTACCTACTGTCACGGACACTTCAGGTGAACACCCAGGCAGCTATATAGGTACAGCACCTCCCCTAGCAGTGACCAGCCTCATCCAGCACAGGAAGGGCAGCCTGGAGTTTCCTTCGTCCCTAACCACAATGCCCCAACAGGCCTTCTAGGACACAGCACCTGGGCAGACCCCACACCCAATCGCCTCCCCGCTCCCCTGCTGTAAGCTTGGAAGCACATCTGAATGTTGCGACTCACCTGACTCATCTCCCAGTGGGACAGGCTTCGGGGCAGGGTTGGGCTGGGGCCTGAGGCTAAACAGAAACAGGCAGTCATCAGGGATGCCCCTTCACCCACACCTGCAGCCAGACCCCACAAAAGCCCACCCTGTGTGGCCACAGTGATGTGCAGTGTCCTCAGCTTGTGCACTGTCACCCCATGGTCCTTGAGAGAGTCCATCTAGCCACTACAGCAGCTGGTGGCAGATGGTCACAGACCTAGTTCTTTCTTGGTCATCTTGGCAAGGACAGGCAGAGCTGGCAATTCTTCCTCTTCAGTACCTTCATCTTCTCCCTCCTTGTCACTGTCTGATGAGAGAGCTGGTCCAGAAGAAAGCACCACTGGGGGCTGGGGCCTGCGTCCAAGACAAGAAAGGTCACTGGGAGAGGACACTTGCCGGGGGAAAGGCAAGTCTTTGTGTGGAGACCCAGAGCTGCTGGATGGCACAGCCAGTGTGTGGAGGAGGAACGGTGAGATCAGTGAGATTGTGGGGAGCCACCTGGACCCACCCATCACCTGCCTGTCACCCATTCTCACCGGCTGAGTCCAGAAGCCCTCTGAGGAGGGGATGGGTCCTGCTGCTTGCCCCCTCTCTGACGCTGGCGCAGCTCAGCCAGACGCTGCCTCATGCTAATGGTCATCTCGGAGCTCAGGCGCCACACAAAGATGCAGCTGGGACAGAGCCACAGAGGTGCGTGAGGGAGGGACAGGGTGGGACTCTGGAGGTGGCAGCACCATTAGTCCTCCTCTGCATGCATGGGCAAGGAGACCCTAGCCACGCTCTGAGGCCATGTCAGCCCCAGCCAGGAAATCCCCGTCCAGGCCCACTTCTCAGAGACAGCGGTGGCAGGGAGGGGTGTCTTTGGCTTCTCTCGGGGAAGCTGGCTTCTGCTCACCTGTCCCCGGACACAGAGATGAGATGTTTGCAGTCATTACTGAATTTCATGCCAGTGACGATCTCTGTGAAGCACAAAAAAATAAGCTCTATGAGCCACCCTCAATTCCCAGCCAAACTCCTGCCTTAGCAGTGGAGCTGGGGCTGGCTGGAAGGGAGGTCAGGTAGCTCTGCTGGGTCACAAGAAACTAAGAAAAGACAGTAGAGTCCCAGGGCTGGCATAGAGGGACCACACTCACCTGAGTGGCCAAACATGGTGGCCACACACTCGCCTGAGGAGAAGTCAAAAATGGAGAGGTTCTTGTCGGAGCAGCTGGTGGCAATGTAGATCCCTGAGGGGTCTGTCTGCACCTGGGGAGTAAGTCATACAGTTCAAAGAGCACAGGAGCGCAAGTCCCTCTCCGCCTGGACAGCTCTGTCCCTCCTGGCCCAGTGCCCAGCCCACGTGGCCCTTACCTTAATGAGTGTGCCATCCTCACCCTGTGACCCTTTAAACAGCTTTTTCTGCTTCCCACTACTGATGTTAAAGATCCTGTAAAGAAAAACACTCACTCATGCAAGGAGGTATGTGGATCCAATGCACTGGGGGCAGAACCACCAGCATTCACTCTAGGCCCATTCTCTCTGGGATTACACACTTACACACACACACACACACACACACACACACACACACACACGGGCTACTCCTCTGGGGTGAGACAGGATATTCACTGTAGAGACTCAAGGGGGCAGAGTCCAGGCAAAAAGACAGACCTGGGGACTTAGCTCTGGGCAGCTGGCCCCTAGGCATGAGAGAAGGGGGCAGACGGCCTAAGGGAGGGATACCCACCGAATATTCCGGTCCTGACAGCCGATGGCTGTGTACTTCCAGCTGGGCTCCACGTCCATGTCATAGAGGGTTGTCTTCCGCACCACGTGGTGTGTCCGAGTAAACTGTACTCCATCTCCACACTGCTGGGGTGCAGCATGTGGCAGACCCACCCCAACTGCCTTGCCAGGACAGAGCCCTGCTCTCACCTCCCTTCAGGCAGGGGCAGTGGAGGCCTCACCCCCCCCTGCCCCTTTCTGGGATGCCCAGTACCCTCACCTTCTGTGCAGTGCGGAAGTAGATGCTCTTGTCTGCTCCACAGCTGATCATGCGCACTTGCCCATCGCTGGCTACGGAGGAGGGGGCCTAGCTGTTCCCACTGTTCCCACCATGTGGGGGCAGCCTTTTCTCCACTTCCCTCCATATTTTTTTCCCATTCAGGCTACTCCACAAGGCACACCAACCAATTAAATCAGAATGCTTTCCTCTAAACCTAAGTTTCCACCTGTCATCCCATACAGCCCGGGCCTCCCAGCTGCTGTCCAACACTTCCCCACTACTGGGAAGTATGATCCTTCTCACGGAAACAGGTGGTGGTGGGAGGCAGCATGATGTCCCTCAATTGCCCTGTCCCACCTGCAAACTTGACAGCCGTGATGGAGGATGAGTGTTCATCCAGAGTCTGCTGCAGGCTGTATTCCCGCCCAGCATCCAGGACATGGATCAGCCGGTCTCGGCTCGCCGATGCTAACAGCTTCAGACCTGCGATTGGAAGAATTTCATCAGCCCATATGTGCCCTGAAGAGACTCATAACCCTCAAAGATGGGTCATATCCCTCAGCTCCATGAACCATGGACTAGGGACAGAGCTGTCCTCTTCAAAACCTGCAAAGGCCAAATGGTCCAAGAGATTATAGGCTGCACATCTAAGAGCCATGAGAGACGTAAGAAGCAGGCCTGGAGGAGCCACATGCCTGGGTAGTGGCAACCTCCTCACCTGTGTCCGGCTTAGAGTACTCCAGGCACAGGATCTCTGAGTCATGGGCGTCCACCTTCAGCATCTCACTCAGGGACTGCAGTTCATGTACCCTGCAGAGATGAGGAGAGGAGGAAAGGGGTCATTGCCAAGGCTGCAGGAGGTAGAACTCCCCTTGCCACTTCCTCTGTTCTATCTTCTCTCCCAATATTCTTTTTCTTTTCCTGCAACCTTTTCATTATTTTTCTGAACTCTGATGCTTAGAGAAGTTGCAAAGAGTACAGATGCTCCCTATGTCTCTTATTCAGCTTTCCCTAATGTTAGTATCTTATATAACATTATGGTTTGGATCTAGAATGTACCCCACAGTCTCATGTGTTCAGAAGTGGGACTTCTGGAAGATGATTGGGTCTTGGGGGTGCTATACTCCTCAGGGCTTATGCCTTTGGAGGGCATCTCTCCTTTCCCAGCCCTCCCTTCCTTCTCTGCCTCCTGGCTACCACGGTGTGAGCAGCTTTTTTCTGCCATGCTCTTCCACTATGCCGTTTCTGCTTTGCAGCCAGCGAACCGTGAACTGAAGCCACTAAAAACTGTGAGCCAAATAAACCTCTTCTGCTTTAAATTCTGGGCATCAGGCATTTTGTCCCAGCAATGGGAAAGCTAATACACATAACAATACCAGAACCTGGAAATGTATGTTGGTATAATACTATTAACTAAAGATTTAATTCATATTTCATCTTCTTCCCCATATATCCTTTTACTTGATCCAGGATCTTACCAAGGGTCCAGTTAACATTTAGTTGTCACTTTTCCTTAGTCTTCTGTAGTCAATAATGATTTTCTAGTTTTTTCTTAACCTTCACAACCTTAACACTTTTGAAAAGTACTGATCAATTACTCTGTCATGTATCTCAGTTTGAGCCTGTCTGATGTTTTTAGCATAACTGAACTGAACTGATGCCAATGACTTTTTTTTCTTTCTTTTTTTGAGACAGGGTCTCACTAGGTAGCCTAAGTTAGGCTTGAAATTGCAATCCTCTTGTCTCAGCCTCCTGAGTGTTGGGATTACAGGTGTGCACTATCATGCCCAGCTTGAGTTATGCCTTTTTGGTAAAAAATGTTACAGAAACAGTGTTAGTCCTTCTTAGTATATTATAGGCTTCAGGGTGTTGATGTGTGCACATTAGCCAAGATCACTTAAGATGTTTCTGCTGGGCTTCTTCATGGAAAAGTTATTATCTTTTCCTCTTAAGTAATAAATATCTTGTTCCTTAACCTGTTTTGAGACAACTCCTCTTAAAGCTCTATCCTTAAGGATCTAACTACTCCAGCCTACCTCATGAGAGGCCGTGAGTATCCACTCCAAGCCTGGCCTTACCTAAGGGTGCCCATCCGGTCTCCTGAAGCTAGATGCTGCCCATTGGGGCTGATACACAGAGAGCGGATGCCCATGCGGGGATCCATCAGGGACCCGTCAGCTTTGTCTCCTCCCGATAGCTCAGTGTCCAGAAGGGCCTGAGTGTTCCCATCCACATAGATTATCTTAATGAGATCCTGGTGGAACAGGTCAGAGAGGTGCGTAAGGAAACTTGAGAGACTACAGCTGTGAGGGGAGAGGGATGCTGGGCAAGCAAAGTCCTGGCTCATAGAGCCTGGCAAAAGAAGAGCTGGAAGGGCGTGGTTGCGGGGAGGAAGGTCTTGAGAAGGAAATGAGAAACCTATAGCTGTGGGGAGGGTGTAGGGTGCAGGACCTCAGGCTCACATTGCTGAGGATGTTCCGGTGCAGCGTGGAGCAATGTATCCCAGAGCTCTCTGTGTTCCACAGGCGGATGGTGTTGTCTGAGGAACAGGTAATGAAAGAACTGGGGGGCAGGCAGGCCTGGTTACTGTCCTTCACCTCAGGGTAGACCTGCAGGGACAGAGGGAAAGAGTAAGGCCACCATTTAGACAGCAGTCCCTTGCCTGACCAAAGAGGTGGAAAGAAAACTAAGACAGAATAGTGGCTAAGACTTAGCTGGGTGCCCCACATATAGTAAGCAACACATACCTGTTACATGTTTTATAACTACAAAGGGAAGTTTAGCCATATACCTCCTGTGCACCAGGCACACATCTATGCATCCCACATCTATGCATTTCACTTCATTTTTAGAACAACTAGATGAATCAGGTACATCATTTCACAGATGAAGAAACCAAAGGCTTGGCCAAGAGTAGTAACTTGTCCAAGATCACTGAACTGAGAATGAGACAAAACTAGGATAGATAGGGGCAGATGAGAAGAAACCTGAGATGCACAAACACTATAATTCATGCTCAGTCCCCATGATCTATGAAAGGGGTGTTACGGTTAATATCTAGATACACCCCAAAGCCCCGTGTGCGCATAAATGGGGCTTTGGGGAGTGACCAGATCATGGGTGTGTGATACTGCTTTAGTCCACTGATTGGTTTAGCATAATTCTGGGTGTGGCCGAGTGAATTTACTGCAGATGGAAGATCTACCCTGGATGTGAGTGACAGCAACCGACAGGCTCATAGCCTGGACGGAATACAAAAGGGAAACAGAAGGAAGGCTGCTGCTTCCTGCCTGCCTTACCATAAGGCTCTTTCTCCTCTGCCATGTTGTCCTGCCTCGGAGCCAGCTGACCAGGGAGGGACTGGAACCTCTATAAACTATGAGCTGAAATAAGCCTTTGCTCCTTTAACTTGTGGGTGTTGAGTATTTTGCCGCAAAAACAACAAAGTAACTAGCATTCATGATGGGGGTGTCAGTGGAGAGGAGGGCGGTGACAGGAACATATGGTACACTTGAGGTTCCCTACTTTCTGCCCTCACAAAGCCTCCCAGCAAACCCATCTCCAGCCAGCCCAGCCCAACTACCTCCACACTCCAGACACAGGAGGAATGATACAGAGCCGAATACACCTTGCCCACTTTCTTGGGGTCCCTCACATCCCAAACATAGATGCTGTGGTCGTTGTACACACAGGACAGCCACTGATTAGTCGGATCAAAGGTCAAGGCAATGGTATCTGGATACTTGGCATTGGCGCCTGCAGAGAAGAGGCGACTGGGAAGGAGAAGACAAGGAAAACTGGTGAGATTGAAGGGGAGGGGGAAAAGCCACTCACACAGGGAGGGGCAGAGCACGGGGCACCCTCTCCAGGCCTGCAGGTTTACAAGTACTGGTGTTGCCCAAGAAGAGAAAGCAGCCCCTCAGAGCCATCAGCTGGGAGCTGACCCTGCAGTGACAGTTGGGCCATGATGTTCTTCTAATGAACACAAACTAGTTCACAGGACACCAACACCAGGCAAGGTATTTCTGTGGCCATGACAGGGTGAAACAAAATAAGGCGGTTCTGCAATCACGTCTGCACTTAAAAACTACATCACCATACAAACCCCAAAAGGATTAAACATCATCCTTTCCCATCTAACATGATCGATGGCCACTTCTTTACCAAGATAGCTTTACCACATACACGTCCTTCTAACTCTTTGATAAAGATCACTAAGATGTTCAGGTATAGAATTGTCCCTTTTTCTTTCTTTCTTCTTTTTTTTCTTTCTTTTTTGTTTTTAAAATTTTTTTTTCTTTTTTGGTTTTTTGAGACAAGGTCTTGCTATGTAGTTCAGGCTGGCCTCAAACTTGTGGTGATCCTCCTGCCTCAGCGTCCTGAGTGCTGAGAATACAGGTGTGTGGCACCAAGCCCGGCTTTGTTCCCACTTCTTGACAGCATACAACCTGAACAAAAGTTCAATCCCTGGAACCATTCCTACATTCAGCTGACACAAACCCAAATCTTGTAAGTCCCTCTGACACCTGCTTACTGAGTCACTCTCCACCCTCTATGGTGCGTGTTCTTTTCAGACCCAACAAGGGCCAATAACTGAATTTGTCTGTTTACAAAGGTGTCCAGGTACACTTTGGGTATTGCCTGTTCCTTGAAGCACAGGAAGCTGGAACAGGATGAAGCTCTGAATAGAGGCAGGGGGCCCATGTAGCTCACCTGGCCTCGGTGACACCAGCAATGTCTGTCCCCAGGGCATGGGGTCTGGGAAGGGTGCTGAGGAAGTGCAGGTTAGAGGGGTTGAAAAGGCGCACAGTGCCATCAGCACAGCCGCAGAAGATGTAGTCCTGGCTCACAGAGATGCAGTGGGCCACTGTGGTCTGTGGGCAGAGTGGCTCAGGTCAGCAAGGGCCTACTCAGTCTCCTTCCACCCTACCTGCCCCAACCCCTCAGAAGTCACCTGCTGAGAGAAGAGACCAGCCAAGGCAGGGAGAGTGCGCAGCAGCCTGGCTGCTCTGTCCTAGCCCTCAGCTGCCTGATACCGAGGTGCCCTCCCTCCAGAAGCAGGTGGTCAGAGGGACCCCAGCCCTGTACAGCCAGGGGATGGCAACCAGGGACCCAGAGGGTTTAGCAAAGAGGGTAAAGGAGGAAAAGCCAAACAAAGAGAAAATGACAGCCTGGGAAGAGAGGCAGGTCTAGGCAGCACTTACTGTGAAGCTGTCTGTGTTCTGAGCAGAAGAGGAAAGCAGAGTAGGGAGACAGAGAGAGAGAGAGAGAGAGAGAAAGAGAGAGCAAGAGGAGGCAGTTACACAGGTCGCCAGGGGCTGCACGGGGCCAAGCTCCAGCATCCCGGGCTTTTCTTCCCTGCAGTCATCTCTTGTACACATGAGGCCCAGCCCCTGGCCTGCAGCCCCCTGCCAGCTCTCCCTGTTTGAAACACAGTAATCCCTTTCCCCAAGGCAGAGGTACTTACTCTCAGCTCCACCCATTTGTCCAAAAGCCTGCGATCACTGAACTCGCATAGCAGCCCAGAGGACGTGATGCAGAAGGTGCTGTCTGCCTTCTTTCCTCGGCCACAAGCCACGTCGGTGAACAGGTTATTCCGCAGCTCCCCCAGCAGCCCCGAGCGGCCCAGCAGGGGCACGGTGGCATTCACCTGTGGAGACACAGCATCGCCATCCATCCACCTTCTGAGCCTACTGCCCCTGGAAAAAGGCCCTAGGGAGAAGGAGGCACCGCAAGCCCCCTGTGTTCTGAGACCCCCTCCTCAGCCCAGATAACAATGGGCTCATACAAAATTTCTGAGTGACACTGACCAGGCAGAACAAGCCCAAGAGCAGCAATCTTCTAGGCTGTGCTGGGCTTCCAAGCCTCACCTTTGAGGTCTTGCTGTCATCAAGGTACCAGAATTTGATGTGCCGGTTTCCTGCAGTGACAAAGTAGCTGCAATCTTCAGAAAAGGACACTGCTGTCACCCGACTGGACACTTTGTTGGAGGCCACCACAATGTTTTTCTGCAGGGAAAGTCAAAAGAAGAGTCTAGGCTCTGCCTCTTGAGGCTAAAAGAAAAGAGGCTAAGCTAGGTAGGAGGTTAGTCCCTATAATCCCAGCACTTGGGAGGCTGAGGCAAGACGATCACAGCTGGCCTGGCTACATAGTTAAGACCCTATCTCAAAACTAAATAAATGGATAAAAGGGCTCAGAAAATGAAGGAGGGTTAGAAAGAATTTGTACTTGAAAAAAATGTTTCTTTTGAGGATTTTCTGGTCAGAAAAGAGGAGGTAAGAGAATCCTCTCTTAAGGAACTGAAAAAATTCATTTCCTCTGGAGGTACTTGGAGGCATAAAGCCAGATGTCTCTAGCAACATGCTTGTACATAGTTGTTCTTTTATGCTTCCAATAATTTTCTAGAATGAGCTAGAGATCAGCAGGGCGGGGTGAAGCAGCTCAGGCTGGCAGCTTCCTGCTCCCCAGCTGGTACCTGGAGCGCCACATGGCTAACAGACCATCCCACCCTGTCCACTCACCTTCCAGGCCCACACATTGACAATCATATCATGCTGGTAGCCCACTGAGACGATGTACTTCGCACTGGGGGAGAAGGCCACACAAGCCACACCATACTTGTGCTCTTGTAGCTCTGCCACTTGGCTGTGCTCAGCCACATCCCACACCCGCACAGCAGGCATGTGACCACTCTGCAGGGAGGCAAGGAGTGGATGTGAGGACTACAGAGAGATGCGCAGCCCCCCTTAGCTGTTCCTCCACTACTGGACACCACCCTCTGGTGAACCCTGGCCAAGTCAAAAGCACAGTGCTACAGAGGACAAAGGGCCAGAAGATCACAGTAAGTATCTGTGGGCAACAGTGAGGATCAGGAAGGCAGCAGCCCCACATTTTACTCAGCCCCTCTTGGTGAGGGTCTGTACCTCCACTGGGGCAATCTCCTGGAATGATTCTGATGAGCAGCCAGGATTTAGAACCACTACCGCTCCTGTCTCTTCCTACCCCAAGCCCCATCCCAGGCTGTGCAGGCAGAGGTATCCCCCCTGTGCCCAGCAGGGGGCCACCAGGAATAAGGAATATGTTAGAGCAGTGGTTTTCTTTTTTTTTTTTGGTTTTTCTCCGGTACTGGGAACCGAACGCACGACCTTGCGCTTGCCAGGCAGGCACTTTGCCGCTGAGCTAAATCCCCAGCCCCTAGAGCAGTGGTTTTCAAGGTATGTGAACTAACAGCCTGCATCAGCACTACCTGGCAAAGTGTTAGAAGGCAGTTTGGGTGACCCCAGGCCCACGGAATCAGGAGACTCAGCAGGCCCAGTGATGTGTACTTTACAAATGATTCTGATATACACTAATACATAAGATGGCAAAAAAACAGGACTTGACAGCAGCACTAACTGGACACAGGACTGCAGCTTTGACCAAGGGCGGGCCACCCACACTGCATGGCGCTACTGCCCTCCCCCTCACTCACCTCTCCCGTAACTAAGTACTTGCCATCCGGGGAGAAGGCCAGGGCAGTGATGGTTTTCCTGCAAGATACGGGGCATGCTCAGAAGGGCATAAGCAACCCCCCACCTCCCATCCCCCTCCTCTTCAAGGTGACACCAGCACACCCCAAGGGTATCTGTGGCACTTCCTATCTCTTCCTACCTGGCCTGGGGCCAACCAGGTCCCTCACAGGCCCAGAGCTCCAAGACAAAAGAGGTGATCCCTGAGGCCAGGCCCACCTACCTGGAACTGTTGAGGATGTGGTGCTGTTTGTGTTTCCGGGGATTGAACAGCACAACCACACACCTGGGGAGAGCAGCAAGATGTCAGGCTCAGCACCAGGCCCAAGATCAGGAGCCCCACACTACCCGAAACTTCTGGTCATCCAGAAAAGCGAGCAAGATCGTTAAGCTACAGTAAGAGGGGCTCTACTCCTTGCTCCTGGCAGCCTGTCCCCGCTGCCTTCCCCACCTGGCAAGGCCATCTCTGCAGCTGCAGGGAGTGAGAAGGCTCCCCAAGCACCGGCTCCATGGGTGACCATACCCGAGGGACAGCAGGGACACAGCCTTCCCACAGCCCTTAAATGCCCCCAGAAGGGGTTGCAGGGGGACAATAAACATGATTTGGCTAAAGCAAGCCTCAAGTGTACAGCCAGTTCTCAGGCTTGGAGCCACACATATGCCAATCACTTGTGCACTAAAGAGGGTGAGGCCTCACACCTGGACACATAGATGTGCTTGGCAGGAACTGGGTCCACACCCTGCACATGTGGATGGGAAGGGTGTGGGGGAGGGTGTGGACAGCTGTGCTGGGGCCAGAACTGTAGGGAGGCCCAGGAAGATAGGAGGTGTTGGAGGATACAGAGATAGCTTGAGAGGGCTGGGAAAGCTTTCAGTGCCACAGAACTTCCAGGCCCAGCCCAAACAGTCCCTGGCCCCAAGGAACCTGAGAAGGCCTCCTAACTACTAGGAGACAAGCAGGGAAAAGGGTGAGGGCAACTTCTCAGCCAGGTGGCAAGGCTGCTGGGTGAGATCAGGTCCAGACCATCCAGAGGAAGCTCCAGGGAGGGAAGCCAAGTGCTAGGCACCAGGGGCAAGAAGCTAGAAGCCAGCAGCCAAGCAGTGTTCTCGTCAGGTTCCACAGCTGTGAGCAGGCCCTGGCCCACTGCCCCTGTGCCTCACCTCTTCATTAGCACTGGCACTAGCTGACATGAGCAAGCTTGGAATCACTATGCCAGGGACAGGGAGCAGGAGGAGGGAGGAGCAGACAGCTACTTCTACCAGCCCTACATTTCTGCAGCGGGTGCCCCACTGTAGCCCTTGCATCAAAACCCCACTGCTAGCTGGAAAGTGGAAGCAGAGGAGGCATGAGCTTCTAGTAGGTGCTTAGCATCTTAGGCCCAACAAACCTCTCTCTTCTGTGTGCAAGTTCCCAGGTACTCTTCTTGGGACACTGGGACCTCTGATGTGACTGGACACGCCTAGAGCTTGCACACTGACCAACACCCTGCCATGCCTGAGTCCCATCATCTCCTCTAACTTCCTCTACCAACCCCTCCTTGCTGATTTTTTGCGGGGGGCGTTGGGGTTGGTACCAAGAATCGAACTCAAGGTCTCATGCTTGCCAGGCAGGCACTGTGCCACTGAGCTATATCCCCGGCCCTCCTTGCTGTTGTCTTTTGGCTTATTCCACCCCTCTCTTCCCTTGTTCTCTTTTCCTTGTTCTTTTGTCCTTTCCCTCTTCATACCAACTTCCAGTCCCCTGCCTTCCCTTCTAGAACGCCATAGTCAGGAGGATTTTAAGATATGACAACATTAAGATGGCACTCCTGCACAGATGCATGAAAAGTATAGCAGTTACCATTCAAAGCCCACAGATTGAATATTTAGACATTAAGACTTTATTCAGTGTGAAAAATACCCCCCTCCAGATGTGCCACTATCATGAATTCTAATTATTGTAGCCCTGGTTATAGTCCAGCAATTTTCAGTGGCCAACTGGGATTTTCTGAATCTTCTTACAACTGTGCTGACCTGTGGAGGGGGAATCTACTGGCTTGTCTCTAGCAAAGAATTCTCGTTTGTCTGGTTATAGTTACCTAGCTTTCTGATTCGTTATGGATGAGCTTCAGCAAAGGGCTCCAGTGGAGAGTTACTCTGACTGAACTGACATGATTGATACACAGTCTAGCCAACCACATTCCGAATCCAGAAGAACTAAGTGTTTTTGGTTTTTTTCCGGTACCGGGAATTGAACTCACAACCTTGAGCTTGCCAGGCAGGCTCTGTGCCGCTGAGCTAAATCCCCAGCCCCCAGAAGAACTAAGTGTTGAGGGCTCTATGGTTAAGTCTGTGCTTTCATCCCAAGCATTATGGCCTTTAAAAAGCAGTGCATCTGACTTTAAAACACTGTCCAGGTCACTACACAAACTCTGAGTCTTTGAGAGAAACAACACCCTGTTTTTTCTGAGTTCAAATCCTAGTAGAGCACAGTGTCTGCCTGGCAAGCACAAGGTACCCCTCCCTGCCCCACCAAAAAATCCTAGTGGTAGGAGGAGGGAAGACCAGTAGTAGTAGTAGTAGTAGTAGTAGTAGTAGTAGTAGTAGTAGTTCTATGTGTTTACAATGCAAAGAGGACTGGCTAGAGGCAGAACCCTCCCTTCTCTACACTCTCTCAGCCTTACTCTGCCTCCAGTAGAGCCTCGGAAATTCTCAGGCATAGCACAGAAGAGTTAAGCAAGGCAGGGAAACATACACAGGGAGACCCTTAAAATCTGAATGTTTTACTCCTGATTATTCAGATCGGGGAAATCATCCAACACAGCAAAAACGAACCCAAGGGGACAATAATGCAGATGCTGAACTGAGGGCACAGCACCCTACATTCCCTGTGGATGCTGCGGTCCTCCCAAGAGAACAGGAGGGTCTGTTCTCAACCCCTCTGAAAAGCCACCTCAGTCTTCTTGGTGAGCTTGGTGCACCTTCCTCAGTGACTCAGAGGAAAGAGGGTGTGGCCTCCACCTCCACATCCCTACTGGGCAAAGTGAACCCTTTCAGCGGTGCTGACTGAAACCCGCACCCTGACAAGGGCTGGGCTGGCCCAACGCGCTGGCTCCTGTAACTCAGAACCTGAGGGTGCAGAGAAATTGCTCACTCTCACAAGGTGAGGGAAGACCTCGGTTCCTCCAGGCCTCAGCCCTCGACATCTGCCTTCCCTGCACAGGTTCAGGCCTGCACCATTGTGAAGAACAACACAGGATGCACACAGGATCCACCTCCTACCATTCTCCACCCGCCAGAGGCAGAGCCAAAGGAACCGGGATGAGCTCTGAGTGGAGCAGCACATACAGGGAGCAGGCAGAGAAGGATCAGCCAGTGTCCTCCAAGTTTTTCTTTCAGTCCAGGTAAAACTGGGAAGTGACGCACAGAGGCAAATGTCACCCTCTTCAGCCCCACTCCCCACCTTCCTGACTGCCTGTCACCACCACTGCTCATACTTTTCCCTAAGCACACTCCACTTGTAATAGTCTCTGTAATTTACTGGAAGGGGAGTGTCTATCTTCACACACTACATTGCCAGCTCTATGAAGACTGTTTTTGTATGTGCTGTTTACTGTTAGGTCTCCAGGCCTAGAAGGTAGGCAGTCAAAGTGTTTGTGATGAGTGAATAAAATGTTTAAGTCATGATCTTTGGGATCTCTGCCCTCTGGCTGTTTAGAAACCTGGGTACAAACCTGTGAAACATGGCCCAGTGAGCAGGTTCATTGTTCTTCCAACCTTACAGCTGTGGGACGGCTCTCCCACACCCAAGCACCGTGTGGTAGAGAATGAACATGAACATTGTGGTCTGACAGACCCATCTACTAACACATATGTGATCGTAGGTATGTTCCTTCACTTCTCTGAAACTCAATTTCCTCACCTGTGAAATAAGAAACTTCTACCTCACAGAATTGTGAGAACTGACAACATTCAAAGTTGTCAGCTCATGCACTTGACCATCTTCTCGAGGGAAATAACAAGGGAAGGGCATCCCAAGGACAGCAGTTGCAACCAGAAGCCCAAATAACATCTTACACAGGACACTAGTTATTCTGAGGTCATCCAGATGTGGAATGAAAAACTATTCCTCTAGATTCATTTTCAAAAGGGAATTTTTTTTTTTTTGAGGGGAGTACTGGGGATTGAATCCAGGGTCTTCACACTGAGCTACATCCCCAGCCCTTTTATTTTTTATTTTGAGACAGCTAAGTTGCTAAGTTGCCCAGGCTTGTCTCAAACTTGAAATCATCTTGCCTCAGCCCCCACGATGCTAGATTACAAGCATGCAACACCAAGCCCAACTCAAACAGGAAATCTTACAGCTTTAATTATTCCAAGAGATAATGATTCCAGTGTGGTTTTTTTTTTTGGTTTTTTTTTTTTTTGGTTTTTCTCCGGTACCAGGAACCGAACTCACAACCTTGTGCTTGCCAGGCAGGCGCTTTTGCCACTGAGCTAAATCCCCAGCCCCTCCAGTGTGGTTTTATTTTGTTTGTTTGTTTTGTTTTGTCTTTTTGAGACAAGGTCTCAATGTAGTTCAGGTTGGTCCTGAACTCACTATGTAGCCCAGGCTGGCCTTGAACTTGCAGCAATCCTCCTGCCTCAGTCTCCTGAGTGCTGGGATTACAGGCCTGCACCGCCACGCCCAACACTAGTGTATTTCTTATTGTAGCCCTGGTTATAGTCCTCTTTAGATACATGGAATCCACATAAGTAACCCTCTTAGGCAGGCCATGAGCCCCACTCTGTGCACCCCTCCTCAAACACACAAAACCTAAGAACTCTGTAGAGTCCATGGGGCACAGCTATCAGTATGCCTTTCTCTGCCCACAGGACCCTACCCGTATTTCCTTTCAGACAAGAAGTGAAGTTTCATGAGCTGCAGGACTCGCGAGCACAGTCCAGTGGCAGTATCCATGTCCCTCCTTCTCACTCACCCAGTCGAGCCATCCAGGGTGCTGGTGAGCTCCTCACACAAGTGAACTGCTTTCTCCTTTTCTCAGACCCTTGCACTTGACATTCCTTGCACCTGGAGCACTCTGGTGTCAACTCTCACATGGTGCTTCCTCCTTGTCACTCAGGGGTAAGCTCTGCTGTTACCCTCACCGAGCCCTGATGCCGTCCGCCTACAAGCAGCCCTTCTCAGTTCCCAGTTACTCATTTTCTTTCCTTTCCACCTCCCTGACCTATTTTCTAGAACATTTCCCACTCTCTAATGTTTCCTTGCTCACACTTGTTTCATGTGTGCTCTGTGCCAACACTTCT